GGGACATTCATCAAACAGATAAGGCTAGTAAAACTTTTCTTTAGATTTATAAATCAGATTAGAGAAACAGACACAATGGGGAAAAGGGATACATAACAGACAGTGACAGTCCACTAAAAAAAATCATCTTAGTACGGAGACACTCACTTCAGATGCAATGAATTGCTTCTTTGTCTGCCACAGCACTCAGACGGGGCGGCTGGACTTACGCTAACTGAGTTCACTACCACTCACATTAAAAACACTACTTCTCTAATTAGCATCTGCTGACCACCACGCCGCCTTTTCATCAAACCACGAAGCTACAACTCCCCTCCGTGGGAATGAACAATGTGTGACGGTGAGCAACGGGCAAGAAGTGGCACAGTCTTACAACCCACACACATGCAGACACATGTACCTGAGAGGAGCTGAGGACACGGCACTCTTGCTGCAGTGAGCCAGTACCCTCCAGTTGTCATCCACTGTGGCTTTGCCACACAAGCACGCTCACAGCACAGGACTGCTGCCTCTGCGCATTTACACTCCCCGTAAGATACATCCAAAACAATCAGATCTTTTTCCCCTTTAAAACCCTTAATCCATCTACCCTTAGCCCACTACCCCTCCCTGCTTTCATCTTCATCCCCCCCCACCCCTCGTCTTACCGTCCAGTCCGAAGCAGGAGGTGATCTTTTGGGCGTAGTTGCAGAGCCCATCGTAGCCTGGCTGCTGCCTCACTGTGTTCTTCTCCCCCATCTCTACACACTCCCACACACACCGTCCCGTCCGGCAGAGCTTTCACTCCTTCCACTGCTCCTTCAATTATTCAGCCTTTTGCCAGGACACATGCATGCGCATGCACACTGACGCTCTTCTCCGCACATCCAAACACACACACACACAGACACAGACAGACAGACACACACACACACACAGACAGATAGACAGACAGAGACAAAAGTGCTGAGGCAGAGGGTCGTGCTGTGTTGCAGTATGAGCGAGCCCTCTCCAGTTGGAAGGGAAAGGAGGAGGCATCAGATTGGGTTACTGCAGAACGGAGCCATGCCTCCCCCTTTTTTTATCCACCATTGATCATCCAGATTACACTGCAATGTAAAAGGCACAGTTTGCAGGATGTAACACCTCTGTTTTGGGAAAGGGCGGGGCGGAGGAGGGAGTCAGAAAAGGGCAAATATTCGGTAGGTGTGGGGCACCTGTCAGGTCAGTTGTTCAGATTCCCAGAAAAAAAACAGCAGCATGGCCTTCCTCCCAGCGAGGTTCAGCCCAGGTTCTTCAGGATGATAAACTTTTCATGACTTCCATTCATGTTACAACCAGCGATTCAGAGCCAGATGACTTGCAGATTTAAAAACAGATTTAAATACGACACAGTGTTTCAAATCTGATGATGAAAACTACCATAATACAAACTGCATGTATGATAATGCCTTTAAAGACGCGAACAAAATCACTAGTAAGAAATGCCATGCTAACTCGCTGCAGGGCGAACAACACAGAAATAATCACTGTGCTGTTTTATAACTCTGTGGTGGAGCAAAAGTGTGTAATGAGTGGTTTAATGGACCAGTGTGAACAATTCTCCCACACATGACTGGCCAGCCTAAATGGTATAGAACAAACTGCAACAGACTAGTTTTGGTAGTAGGTGAAGACGCTATGCTAAGACTGTGGTTGTTGTTCTGAGCTTGCCAGAGAATGCAGGTGGGGGAAATATGATCGCCCATATGCTACTACGAAGATGACCTTCAATAATGCACTTAAGCCTGCATTGCTCTGGCTGAATTCCTTAACGTCCATCAATAGCAGCAGCTCCCAGGTAGGGACGACAAACATAATGGTTTTATGAGTAATAAATAAATAAAGATCATCCTAAGACATTCAAAACAAAAAGAAAATGAACAGGAGCTACAGTAAGATGGAAAAGTCCTGACAGCGGGGCCACAGGGGTGTATTCCAGGTGGGGTGACTAATGGAAAGCCATCAGTACCAAGGTAAAAGCTGATGGCCCTGTGCTGATAACAGTAGGGAGGGGAGGGGGCCCAACTGTTAGACTGGAAGTCCGGTAATGGTCCAGACGCTTGCTGGACAAATGTAGGAGGGGCTGGTAATGAGTAATGCACACAGAGGAGGGGAAGTGGAGTAATCGGAGACTCTTTTTTTGACTTCCTGTGTTTTTGTTGCAGAGAAATCAATCATCTGACATGGTTCAGTTCTTGAGCATTGTTCAAACGTGGCTGAAACCAGGACACAAGGGTTAAAACATGACTGATGAGGGGAAATTTCCGAGCTGAGGTGTACTTGATGTGACAAATTCTTAATGAAATCCTTCACAAAAGATAAAGCTGGCGGACGACAAGTCAGGACATGTAGCTCTGTTGTAGCTCCTAATATTTTTGTTTTATGAAGTGGTTTATAACTTTTTTCAAACATGCAGCAGAAGATACATCCATATACTTGTGAATAATCTCCCTTACAGCGGAATGACTGGATGTAGCCTTATAATTCTTTCCAGATGTTTGACAGCAGCAGTTGCTCCTCTTAGATCACTGCTGATGTCTTTCCTCCTTGGAATTGTGTTGGCAAACTCCTGACTGCTCCAGGCTAGCTAACTGACAAAATCCAGCGTTTATAAAAGTGCCCACGCATAATGGTGTTCTGTTAATTAGCTGTTTTTGATTAACAACATCTGACTGCTGTTCGCTCCATTAATTACTCTACAAACAGTAAGGCTGGACGTTTTATTTTTCCACACACTGCTTCTACATTTGCTCAGTTTATTTATTACAATTAATGATAACACAAAGTGGTCGTTTCAACAGTTTTCAAGGCTGAATAACCCTTTAATTATGTCCTAAAGCATTAAAGCTTAGAATTGGAAAGATGGTGAACTTTCTAACAATTATATCAACAGCTACTTTCATTAATAATGAGTTTGATGATTACTTCCTCAATTTGGTCAACAAATTAGAGGCAAATAATCATCAAATTGCTATTTCAGCCAATTCTGAATGACCCAAACATGGGACATGTTTTTTAAAAAGGTGCGGCAACTTAATCTGTAAGGGAAATTTATATTTATAAAAAAGCAAAAACAAAAAGTGATGAACATGTCACTACCTAAAACTATATTTTACTTCCCAGCACATAGTGTGTGCTTCCCATGGAAGTGATTGGCGGTGCACGGGGGCTTTCGAGCGCTAATCAGATCTACAGAGTGCACCAGTGGGTCTGTGGAGCAGTGGGCTCCAAGCTTCATCGATTTCCACCAACGGACACGAAGGACAGATCCAGTAGGCCACATCGTTAATGGATGGGGCTCAAAGTCATCTTACTGCTCAGGCTCAGCCATCCAGACCCTGAGGGAGAGTAATATGCTACTGCACAGTCAGGGCCTTTACCAAAGGCTGCTGTTTTACCCAAAAACCCAATAAAATCCATCATGTCAAATCCGGCAGCAGATTTAATGTAATAACCTTGGGTCATATCGGTGCTGCAAGTCCTTTGCTTTTTCATCCAATTTTCAGGCCGACCGGCTGATCACAACCAGATGGGACACACATAATCCACCTGCACTTTGCCTGCGCTGTGTGCAGGTGTGTCATCTGATTTTGGACTCAGCAAACAGCCCCTGCCTTATAAGGATTTACTTGACAGGTGCAACAAATCACAGCATGCATTTCTGCAGCATTTTGTTTTGTTTTTATGAGAACAACTATCACCAGTAAAGCTGATAAGGTCATTATCACATTTCACAAGTCCTTTGATAAACCCTGTGAAGCCTGAGTCAAGATAAGCCCTGCCACCCCAGCTAAAGCATGTGTCTGAATATGTCAAGTAGATTCAAATAGATGGAAGTTCACCTTCTTTGCATCTGGGAAAATTAGAATAAATAGAGAGGAATATTTCCCCCCTCTTTAAGTTGACATGAGTGAAATAAGTTTCCCATTCTGTGTCAGCTCTGCTCCGGTGTAACCTCCTGACATTATCCCTGTCAGTCCCTGCCGAGTTCTCCCGATGGACGGGGCAAACGGACTTTTCTCCATCAACCACCCTTTAGCCAAGACATCCCCCTCCCTTCCCTTCGCACCCACCCCACAATTTACGGGACCGTTTTCCTTAAACTCTGTATGTATTGTTCTGAAGGCATAAGACACTCACCTCTGGCAGACATGCCCGGTAGGTAGAGCCTCTGTCTGTGCCGAGCTTAACAGGAGCCCCGCTTGCAGCTACGAAGAAGGCGAGATGGGGCAGATCGGGTGGTCTGATGATATCTATCCGTTGAGTTTCCTGCCTGTCATTTAATGGAATTAAACGCGGACAAACAGAACGCGGTCCGGTTGACTGGAGCACAGTGCGCGATGGGGAGAGCGCTTTCCAGCCACAGGGCGTATCCTGGAACAGACAGCATCCCCCCGTTTTTTTTTTTTATTGTCCAGCAAGTTTTCTGACCATATTTGAGCTCAGTGTCACAGAATCGCTGTATTATAATGGAATTGGTTCTTGAAATCCCCTGCCTTCCGCGCTCCCCGGCTCCCAGAGCGGTGAAGGGGGAGAGGCTGCTCTCCGCCTGGGATGGCTGCGCCCTTCTGGAAGTGGAAGCTGGGCTAAATCACAAAGTTGACAGCCACGTTGGAGCAATGACTGTTTTTTTTCCCTCATTCCCCTCCCCATAGTCTGGCTACTTTAGTGGAAATATTTAACCATCTCTCATCCTCACTGTGCCATGACACAGTAAAGAAGCATGGACTGTGCTCCAACTGGGGAAATCACGGTGACCATAATCAGTGCATTTTGATGGCTGTTATGATCAATCATTGCGGTTTCACATGCTTTAAATTGCAAATAAGAACGTGGTGGCTGGGGCTTTCGAACTAAAAAAAAGAAAGAAGAGCAGCGTCCCAGAGTAAAAGTATTGGCCGCTGCGTTGTTTGACTGCACTGATTGTGGTCGTAGCTTATGAGCCTTTCTTTGGTGTACCTGCGCCCCCTGGCGGTGTGTTTTGGTGGTGGTTGGCGAGGGAAGTGCCACCGTGTCCAAAGCGGGCTAGCTACTTTGATCCCGTAGACGTCTTGTTTACAGTGGTAGTTCCAGGCCTGTAAAGTCTGGAGGACAACAACGTGTTACGGGTTTATTGCTCACACCTTTTCTTTCGTTACAAGGGTCAGTGCATGAAACCTCCAATCTGGAGCGAGGCGGTAACAACAGGAAGAAGAAGATAGAGGAATTCTCTAGGTCTTCTCGGGAAAAACTAGTCCAGTCGAAGAACAAAATGTTCTCCAAATTTACGTCCATTCTCCAGCACGCCGTGGAAGCGGTGAGTTTGTGCTTTTCCATTTGGCCAGTGTTTCTGGGGCGATCATTTTGGGTTGAAAGTGGGGGGCTTATGTTGACCAGACACATCGTATCATAACGTCAGCATAAGGTTGCTAAGTAGCATGCTAACAATTAGCCGGCGCTAATGTTAGCATGCTGTGTTTGTGTTGTCAGTCCAATTCTTACGTTAAAAATAAACTACAATCTATTTGTGTGCTTTTTACTAGCTTATTATCATATTAACAGCATTTAATTGCAACTTGTTATATTTGCTAAGGCATGCCTCAGCACATTTCATGCCAAGTAAGTTGACAATAGCCTTAAGATGCTAAGCTAAAACCCTAGCTAATTGTTCCATTTTAAACAGCTGGGTCTTATGAGGAGGAATGGTGTCGCAATTATTGGGCAGCCTTGTCTCATATTGCGTAAACATACTGTCGCTAATAGTAAATGGATCTTGCGTTGCTTTTCTTGGACGGCACTATTGGAAAGCTGGTTGTTATATCATTGCTACCTATCCATAAAGCAAGTAGTAACCAGCCTGGAACTTGCTTCCTTCACGGGGTTTGCTCAAGTTAACAGCTTTGACCTGGGATAGGGTCGAAAGAAATCTGCTGAAGCAAATACTCACCTTCTCCAATGTTCCTTTTCAGCTTGCTCCATCGCTGCCTTTACAAGAGGACTTTGTCTATCACTGGAAGGCCATTACACATTATTACATAGAGACATCTGGTAAGAAATATCTGAAATAAGGTCACATCTGTCCCCATACAATATACACATGCAGCAACGCACACAAAGGAATTGTCACGCAGATTTGATGCTAAACCCTTCTCAATGTTTCATTTACCATCAACACTAGCCTATTGTTCAGGTATAGTTTCATTAAATGTCTTTTCTCCTTCCTAACATGGATATATACAAAGTTGTATGGTTTTCACAAGTGAACATCTTAAACCACAGCTTGTTTGTGGTGTTCAGAACATTTCTGTTGAAGGACTTGTCTCTTAGTTGTCTAAAACCGTTGTGTACTGGCTGCATAGGGGGAATGATCGAGACATGGAAAGTCATAACTGTGAAGTATTCAGAGAATGCTGTCCTGGTTGAGCTAGGGAAAGAATTCAGCAGCTATGTGTGGACCAAGCAGCCCTCCTTTATGTTTTCCTGTTGTGGCATGAGCCACCAGAACTTGTGTGCTTGGTTTTGTATAATTTTACATCTGCTTGGTAAAAACATGAAGGAGCAATGACGCTTTCCTCTCTCTCTGTCTTGCTTAAGATAGCCCTCAGAACATAACTCTTTGAGGTGCTACTGAAGCTATAAATCATTTCATTCTGACAGCCTAGACATGTTTTTTCTAGTTGGGCTTTTTAGCATGTTTGGCATTTTGAGCTTTGTTGTACAAAACATGATTATATTCTGTCTTGTGGTTGTTTTTAATTGAATATTGGCAATATGGAGTATACATCTTTTATGAAGTCTTGTGTGTGTAAAGGCTTAATTGCCTCCTCGTTATCTCTGTCTGTCTAATATGTCAATTTAAACAGACTGCAATGCCTCTTTGTGGCAGGAACTATTTATGGAAATATTTGATGTTGAAGTGGCCACCCACAGGAAATCAGCCCAATAAAGGGTATTTTTTAACACTCTTTGAGTATGGACTTTTTTCCCTGCGTTTGCTTTCTATTAGATGACAAAGCCCCAGTGACAGACACCAACATCCCGTCCCACCTGGAGCAGATGCTGGACATTCTGACGCAGGAAGAAGCGGAACGGGAATCTGGGGAGACAGGACCCTGCATGGAATACCTCCTCCACCATAAGATCTTAGAGACTCTGTACACATTGGGCAAGGCAGATGTAAGGCTGTGCAGCTTTAGTAACCGTGCAAACTACTGCTCCGGGGATATTTGTTGACCAAGAGGAAATCGCTGTTTTTCTGTGGTTTCAGTGTCCTCCAGGGATGAAGCAACAGGTGCTCACATTCTACACAAAGCTGCTGGCACACATTCGACAGCCTCTCTTGCCACACATCAACGTCCACAGACCTGTCCAGGTGAGAGGCGGAAGCCTGGATTTGAAATGTTCTCTGCTCACTGACGGGTTAAGCAACTAATTTGTAACTCTTACCCTGCCACTGTGACACGACTCTCTCAGAAACTGATCCGTCTGTGTGGCGAGGTGCTGGCTGCCCCTACAGAAAACGAGGAGATCCAGTTCCTTTGCATAGTCTGTGCCAAACTAAAGCAGGACCCGTACCTCGTCAACTTCTTCCTAGAGGTGGGTCGTCATTATTCTCATGTAAATGTGGAGATAGGAACCTTAATTGCTTTTAAGCATGTAACCCAGAGAGGATTGTTTTTCACTTTTGCAACACTGTTTTCAGAATAAGTCAAAGCGACAAGAAACAAAGAGTCCTGTGGTGAGGGAGGGGGTGAAGGAGAGTGTGTTGGCTCCGGACACTGGTCAGTCTCAGGCAGAGGAACAGGCAGGGCATCGGGAGGAGCCACTGGCCGCCGCTGCCGCATCCACCTCCAGTCCCGCCAGTAACAACAACAACAGCAACAACTACAACCTGGTCACGTCCCTGCTCAACCTAACAAAGAGTCCTGTAAGCGATCCGTGTGTGTGGAACGTGTGGGGGCTTCTGTAGAGTTACATATCGTCCCCTGTAAAGTTGCCCATTTGTAGTCATTAGAGCTCTTCCCTCCTCAGGATGGCAGGATAGTGGTGAAGGCTTGTGAGGGCCTGATGCTGCTGGTCAGCTTGCCAGAACCTGCTGCTGCCAAGTGTCTAACCGAGAACACAGAGCTCTGTGAGCTGCTCACCGACAGGCTGATCTCCTTCTATAAAGCTCTGCCACAATCAATGGACCCTCTGGACATTGAGACCGTGGAGTCTGTCAACTGGGGGTACATTTCTCTGTCATGTTTAATCTCTCAAATCTCTTAGTTTCAGTTATGCCTTGCAGGGTGCCTGTAAATAATGCGCTGGCGCCTTTTTTCTTCCCCTCTTGTAGTCTGGATGTGTACAACCTGAAAGAGGACGCCACCATCTTCACCGGGAAGAGAGCTCTCATCTCATTCCTGTCATGGCTTGATTACTGTGACCAGCTCATCAAGGAGGCTCAAAAGGTTCCTAACTAGTGCTGACTCACTACGTTTTGATGTGTGGCATTGTCTCAGTTGACGGAGGAAAAAAGCTTTTTTTTTTCTCTTTTCTCCCGCCTTTGAAAGCCACAGAAGGCTGAACTACATGCTTTGTTTTACTTCCCTGTCTTCCAGTCAGCAGCAGCAGTGATTGCGAAAGCCGTGAGAGAAAGATTCTTTGTGTCTGTGATGGAGCCGCAGCTCATGCAGACGTAAGTCCTGCCCTGAATCATCCATCAATCATGCCGCTTTGTCCTGTCAGTGTGTTGCCATGCGAGTTGTGACTTCTCAGTAAAAACACTCTGTGTGTTTGGGTCCATGTAGGTCAGAGGTGGGGATCTTGACCTCCACTGCCTTGTTGAACAGGATCATAAGGCAGGTGACATCTACAGCTCTGCTGCAGGAGATGGTTTACTTCCTGCTGGGAGAGGAGGTGGACGCTGAGACTCCAGCCACAGTCACGCAGCATCCACTCCGGCACAGACTCATCGAGCACTGTGATCACCTGTCAGATGAGGTGCTTATCAAACCACACGCCATCTGCACTCAATGAATGAGTCTGAATAAAGATGTGCTCAGGCCTTTTTTTTTGTTAAGCTCTATCACATAAACATGTATATTTAATTGTTTCTTGTTCAGTATTAAAACAAACACGCCTGGCCTTCTTTTAAGGCGGCCCTATGAATAAAACCATTAATCCAAAGCATGTGCTGTCATCACACAAAAGACGGATCAATCATCTCTGACAGCCGCCGCCTTCGTCTCTGTCACCGAGTAAATCTTTGGCTTCCCTTCAGTAAGCTGTCAGCAGTAGCCAAGCCTCATAATCCCCCCCCTCTCTGTTCTCAGATCAGCATCATGACGCTACGGTTGTTTGAACAGCTGATCCAGAAGCCCGACCAGCACATCCTCCACAGCCTGGTGCTGCGCAACCTGGAGGAGAGGAACTACCAGGAGAACAAACCGCAGGAGGAGCGGGAGCCCCTCGAGAACGGGCAGCCCCACGATTCCGTGTAAGGGACCTGCCTCTGATCCTCGACCCCCCCCCCCCCAACCCGGCAAGCTCCTGCATTTGTCTCTGCGCCAACAGAAACTAAAAATAAAAATGTTTAGATATGCTGCTACTACTTCTACATTGATTTTGAGGGGGGGCATGACAGTTCACTTTATAACTGGAAGAAAGCTGTGACAAAACAAGCACCGATTTGTAAGTCTCTAAAAGAAGCACTAATTAAGACACAAATCTTTGAGAAATACCTTTTCTAATCGACCCTTAACCGTGGACTTGAATCGGTGTCCCACCTCCATGATTATTTTACTGCCCCTGCTTTCATGATTAGAATTCTGTTTACAGAAATGTCGGAAAGCCCCCCGCTGCCCTCTGCTCATAAGTAACTCAAACGCGTGTGCGCCCTGTGCAGGGACCTGGAGGAGGATCCGCTGTTCGGCGATGAGCCCCCGCTGGAGAGAAGGCCTTCCAGCTCCGACTGGCTCGGCTCCTCTCCATCGCAGAGCCCCGATCACTCAAAGTCGGACGGGAAGACGGAGGTCCACAAGATCGTCAACAGGTGCGGCGTCCGGCTGCAGCCCACGCGGCGCCTCAGAGGCCAGACCTCTCACTCTGGATGTGTGTTCCCCACAGCTTCCTGTGTTTGGTGCCCGACGAGGCCAAGTCCTCGTACCACGTAGAAGGCACCGGCTATGACACCTACCTCAGAGACGCTCACAGACAGGTGGGCGGGGCGGCTCAGTGGGGTTTGCCCTCACCCGCACCAGCTCCTTATCGACCTCCTCCTGGTTCTGCTCTCAGTTCAGGGACTATTGTGGGGTGTGCCAGCGGTGGGACTGGAGAGGGATCCCCAAGCCGTTTGAGAAGTGCGACTTGGATGCGCCGTTCTTCGAGGGTCACTTCCTGAAGGTTCTCTTTGACAGGATGGGTCGCATCCTGGATCAGGTGAGTTTGACCAGTGCACATCTGTCATCCGGGTCCAGATCTGGATCTCCATTTGCATTCAAAGTGAACCTGTCACTATTTGTGCCTTCAAAAAAAAAAATATTCAGACCCTGTTAGAAAAGTGAAGGACAGCTGTGATGTGTCCTGATTAGATGGGAGCAGTAAACACAGCGGGCTGTCAGCTGTTAATGGAGCACCGCTTGAATCAGGATTAAACGGCTTAAAAGCTTCCTGGGAGAGATTGTGATTATTATTTTTTTGTTAATCGAGCTTTACGTACACAGCCAGATTCCAGCGATTTAAATTGAGCTCTCAGTGTGCAAATGGTGATTTGTTTAATTTTGTTTTCTGGTGTATCTGAAGGCCCCTTCCAGCTGGTACTCAGCTCTGTGTGGCTCTTTTGTCTGTGTGCAGCCCTACGACGTGAACCTGCAGGTGACCGCCGTGCTGTCCAAGCTGTCTCTGCTACCACACCCACACCTCCACGAGTACCTGCTGGACCCTTACATCAACCTGGCCCCCGGCTGCAGGTCTCTGTTCTCGGTCATCGTCAGGGTAAGGCTGGTGCTCCGCTCCACGGCCTCCTGTGGAGGAGGCGCGGGGGCTCTTCTGGTGCTCTGGGATGTGTGTTTTGGTGAGCGCTGTGCCTGTGTGTGCCTAGGTGGTTGGAGACCTCATGCTGAGGATTCATCGCATCCCAGACTTCACACCCAAGCTGCTGCTGGTCAGGAAGCGCTTATTGGGCCTGGAGCCAGAGGGCATCAAGTAGGTATCTGCACAACTCTGGGCTCTTTTACAGGGAGCTGGCATTTGGAAAGGCCTCACCTCTCTCCCTCTCTGCCGGCAGCATCGACCACATGACTCTGCTGGAGGGGGTCATCGTGCTGGAGGAGTTCTGCAAAGAGCTGGCAGCCATCGCCTTCGTCAAATATCACGCGGCTGCCTCGTCCTCACCGTAGTCGTCCCGCTGTTCTTCCATCTGCCGCGTCCGGGCAGACAGGTCGGGTTGAAGCGACCACGGGAAGGGTGGGGGTGGGGGGGGTCGTTGGTACCGGTGGCACAGGGTCAGCAAAACATTACCACTAACCGGTTTCCCCCTGCAAGACTGTTAGAGCCCACACAGGCGGGTTTGATCGTTCCCTCTCCCTCTGACCTCCCAGGCTCCAGCACCAATCAGGTTTGCTCTGGTTTTGGGGCCGCGGCGCAGCACAGACACACTGCCCAGCCAGCAGAGGAGCAGGAGGAGGTCCCTGGACTCCTCTCAGCCTCCGCAGTTCTCTCACTGCCCCCTCATCCTCCTTTGTCACCAGCGCTCTGTAACTTATGGCGTGAAGAGGAAAACATGTTTGTATATTTATTTTCTGTCCCTGTACCGCCTGTTTGTGAATGTCATTGCCTTAGTGTGGAATCACACCTTTCAGTTACAGCCGGTTTTTACTGGAAACCCCTGGGTTGTGTTTGCCGAAAGGCAGCGGACGTCAAACTGTCCCTGTAGTTACATTCATTTGGAGAAGCAGTATTCATGATACTGCACTCATTTTAAAGCCAAGTCGTCTTATTTATATTGTTGCTTTCAGGTTGCCTTTTTAACCAATGTTGTATTAAGAAAAGAGGAATGGAAAAAAAAGATGCTTCTTTGTTTTGATTTGCTTTGTTTCTGGTCTTTTTTGTCTGTATGTGCTCGTGCTGTCACAGGTCATTTTCAATCCCTGTTGCCCAAAGATTTCACCATCCCTCATGTTCTGTTAAAAATTGTGTATTTGCAAAGGATGCCAGTTTGCACAGGAGCCTGTTTGCGTTGCACTTCATCACATGCGCTCACCCTAAAGTTCAGACGTGTGGGGATTTTTGGAAGTCCCTCTTTACTTTGTGTCCTTCTGCAGGCTGTTTAGTTCCTCACACCGGGGAGCAAAGCTCAGCTTAACCCACCAGTGTATTTTAAACAGTATGTGATTCTAGTGACTGATTTTATTTAATTTCTTTCAATCTATCCAGAAGAACAACAGCAAAGATTTGAGATAAGACTGAAAAAGTCATTTCTTTCCAATTTTTACTAAAGCAGATCCTGAGTTTGAGCTCCGAGCGCCTTCATAGGTTACTGCGACCTCTTATCAGCGTTTACTTGCAGTATTTCTTTTTCTCCCTGATGACGAGGGAGTGTTTGGTGCTTTGCATCATTTAGAATTGGCGCGTGTTACCTATGGAGGGTGTCTGGATTTTTAAAAACTTCCAGGTGTTCTCATGTGTGAATACCAAGAGGCAGCTTGATGTCATTTGGATCTTGCGTGACGGTCCCTGTGTGAGTGCTGCCGCTGCTCTGTAGGTGGAACTGGATTTGAGGCAGTCCCTGCGGGGGGGCAGTCAAAGGTCCATCTGAGCTTCTGGTCTTGAACCCCTCTCCCTCCTGGTCCCATCACTTTTGCACCTGATCTACATTATGCAAACTCTTGCATGGAATCAGATTTGCACATTGTCTTCATTCATGTTTGTAATGTTTTTTTTTTCCTTTTTCTCATGAACCAAAAATAACAAAAATCTTGGATGTCTGAGTGAGATTCTATTTTAGGGACGTTTTTTTTTTTTTTTTAAACTCAACCATGCACATTTTTTATCAACTGTCTTTCAATTTGTCCTGTACAGTTGTATATTGTGTGTACAGTAGCAATATATATATACATATATCATAGCTGGTGTAACTGCATGCTTCTGTATTATTTTTCATTGCTGAAAAGAGAGAAAAAAGGCAGTCCAGCCAATGATGTTCAGTTAGCAGTTGGTAGAGAAGATGCCTTATTAAACACTGTGGATCTTTGAGGGGTCTCTGCTAAATGTGATCTTATGCTTTTGTTTGGTTTGTCAAGATGTGCAGGACTGGGTGTTGTTGAATCTGATACCAACTGATTTCACTTTGTCATCTCAGAGCGGTGGCTCACTGTACTGGTTTTTATCATTTTCATCTTTGCATTTGTCTGAGGGCCGTTCCTGCGTCTCTCCGCCTCCCTCATGGCCACTTTGTGTGTTCGTGCAATGCGTACCTGATGCATTAAGTTAAGCTGCATGCTACCGCCGGCCTCAAGCCAGAAGAGGTGGTCAGGGCTGTCCAGCAGAGGCGGTCAGGGCTGCCCAGCAGAGGCAGTGGGTCGTTTCTCCCTCACCGCTGCTGCCGTGCACATCTGTTAGGTTTCACTCAGCACAGTAAGGCTTTCCCATTCTCAATTCCAATAAAGAAAACAAATTTTTCCTCAGCAGCAGATGTGGTCATTCTTTAAGCAGTTTGTTTCATCTTGTTTTATTATAAAATGTCTGTACAATAAAACAAAAATTCACAAAATAACCGTTTCTTTCAACGCCAAGGTGAAAACCACAAATTCTCCTCAATCTTTCCAAACAAAACAAACATTTCTGAGCCACCACCAGAGAGCAGAGTGGCTGTGACGTGTCATTTCCCCCCCCCCACCGGAACAGAGGACCCGGAGCGTGAAACTGACCTCTCTTGGCAGTGACAAACTCGACGCCGGTCAGCATGGGAACGTTACGCTCTTATCAGACTCTTTGGCCTCGAGCCTGCCATGCTCAGCCGTCCAGCTAATTCTGGAGAAATGAGGAAGAAAAAAAAAAAGAAGAAAACAAAACATCTGACTCTCTGGGCCCAGCCTAGGATTGTGCGACAGGTCCGAGGCCATGGGAGCACAGCCCACTCCTCTGGAGCCGCGCGGGGCTTTAGAGGCACTACGGTGCAGAAAGGAGGCTGTCAGTGTAAGAACTCGTTCTTTAGGACTGCTAAGGTACATGCTGAAACCACAGGCAGGGTATCGATACTCTTCTTGACATTTTCTTTTTGAGCGTGTGACGTCGATGGGTTCACCGCTGGGTGTTTCCACGCAAGATCAAAGTCTTTACTGCCATTTTTTTCCTGGACTCTTCGTGACTGCCAGCGACTTGACTTCAAAGTCCTGTGAATGTTACAATCGAACGTAAAAGCTGAAAAACATCTGGCGGTTCTCTCTCCGCCTTTCAGTGAAAACTCCCAGACAGTGTGACAGTATATCAATATAAAGACGGTATATTAAATTAATTTACATATTGATGTAAATAATTCACTCTTATGCAAATCATTGTCATGTACATACAAAACCACTACGTAAAAAAAAATCTACATGCCTTTGCACAAACTAAACTGGGCTAAAAATACAAGTTATCAGTTAAAAAAAAAAAAAAAGGAAAAAAATATTTACATTTCAAAATGTTTTTTCCATTTCATACGTTTTTCCCAAAAGCCGCTGGGCCTCCTTGCCCCGTTTACAAACCCCAGATATGGTACACAGACACAGCTTGTGTGCCAGTTGCTCACACTGGAACATTCAGACACACAAATGTCTCTTTGGCTGGTGTGAAGCTGCGGCACCTTGTGTGTGTGTGTACTTAAACATTTCCCAAAAAGGAAAGGGGACAACAAAAAAAAAAAAACGGGGAAAAAAAACACACTCACACAAAAAACACAGTTCAACAGCATAAAAAATAGGCTCCAATGATCAATATAGTGATATCTCCAATGAGTCTATGAATTTGCACATAGACCATACTTTATCCTGTATAGGGGTCTGCCACACATATGCCCTTGATTGTGTATGTGTGTACAATACATCATATATACACACATGTGTGTGTGTTAGCAAATCACATTCAGAAGAGTGATGTTAAACTATGCAAGAAGGCATCAATAAATAGGTGTGTGTCTGTGTGTGTGTAAATATATATATATATTTACACGCACACACACGTGTGCGTGTCCCTGGGTCTGCCTTGTTAAACAGCTCCAGCCGTCTGTCAGTCACCCTTTGAGTTCTGTGCTGCGTCCAGGTTGACCACCTGGAGCTCTGTCAGGTTAGTGCTGCTGCCGCTCGACTGCTGGCCAATCACCATCTGGAAACAAAACACGGCCGTGTCACAGGACCACGCATCAGACAGCCCATCGCAAGTCATCACATCACTCCACAGCCGGCACAGATGGAGAATCCTGCTGCACCGCCTGCTGTGCTGCCACCATGCTGACGTTACGTTTAGCACTTAGCTTGTTTACTTTGGAATAACACTCTGTGCTGTGGAGTTTTATCGATTAGGATCCAGTGGAGCAGTTTTAAAAAGCACAAACGCAGCTTGGCTAAAAAAACAAAAAAAAAAGGTTGTTTTCTGTAGTTCCAGTCTCTATACATCTGTGCACAAATGCAAATCCCTGCTGTCCATGCACTACTGTGGTGCTTTATTAGCTCTACGACGTGTGTGTTTTACTATGAGTAACACGACACCAGCTGGTCGAACACACACACACACAAAGGCAACAGCTGACGGTGGCCGTGTGTGTCAGTGCTGTGTTAGGATGCATGGGTGCAGTCAACGTGGCATGCTGGTTGCAGAGGGAATATGAGAGTTTCACTTGTAAAATGCAGATCTTGCCGTACTGGGTGTAGCTGCACTGCGGAGACGGGGATCTGCACCGTGCCGGGGGGTGCTGTGAGGAACACCTGAGGGACAGAACCTGGGACAGGGAGCGGCGCGGCTCCAAGTCAGCACGCCGTCAGTCTTAAAAAAAACTAATCGACACGCTTGCGCCTGCTGGCGCCTCACCTGTGTCCTGGGCTTGGGCGTGGGACACCTGCATGGCCGATGACCCCTGGGAGAAGGCGTTGAGCACGGCCAGGCCTCCGTCGGCCAGCGCCGGCGTGGAGGCGTACATTACCGTGTGAGGGCTGGGGTACATCATGTGACCCGCCACGGACGTTGGCACTGATGAAGTGACTATGGTTGCTGGGAGGCTTACTGTTGCTGGACAGAGAGAGAGAGAGAGAATCAGAAAGAGGGAGAGAGGCGAGTTCACACCTGGGCCAGCAGATGGCGCTCTACATCAAATTACAGTTTCATCTCCCGCTTATTCAAACTGTAGTGGCTTTTTCTTCCTCAGACTGATGCTAGTGCCCCCTGGTGTGTTGCTTTTGCAGCCTGTGTCCATTACTACTTATCGGGATTTGTTTTTGCAGTTTCTGAGTGTGCCTGCTTTGGCGCATCCCATTGGACGCCCTGGGTCAAGTACCTTACAGAGCCCTCCTCCATCTGCTGGTCCGCTAAACTCGTTACAGTAAGTGTTTGGGAAAAATACCCATGCGGGACATACAGGTGGAGTTGGTGGAGGTGTGGGAGATCTCCGGGCTGCTGTCACTGTTGGAGGCGGGCTGGGTGCTGGGATGGACCTGGATGGCCTGGAGCTGCTGTGGAACGCCTGCTCCTGGAGACACACAGGGGGCAGGAGCCATCAAACGCAGCGCCCAGGGTACCACATCGGCTGCGGCGGGTTGGAGGACGGGGGCGGAGGTGATGGGGGAAGCATATGGTGGCGCTGCTTGCTGTGGAAGTCATCGTGCGAGGTGCATTAAGAACTCCAGCATTAGGCGCGTCGCCATTAGAGCGGCAGCAGCAGCAGCGAGTGTGAGGATATGACCACGGTTAGTAAAGGCAGGCAGAGTGGTGGCAGCATGCAGAGCAGGTCACCTGTGAGGGAGACAGCAGCAGGGAAGCGGAAGACAGCCTGCTGTCCCTGCTGTGGCTGGGGGGCGGCGGCCAAGGCCTGACCATGCTGCCCCTGGAGGGCCAGGGAGTGCTGGTGCAGCTGGCTCAGAGGAATGGTGGGGGTGCCGGGGGGCAGAGAGGTGCCTGCTGCGGGGGCACGCATCCGCACACACACACACACACACACACACACACGCACACGCACACACAGAGGGTCAGGCTGAGTGTGAAAGTGGAATTAGAAAAGCGGCATTAACCTGAAAGGTGTTATGTGCAAAATCCACTTCCATTGATTTGAGATAAGCCCTCAGTACGCCGAGAGTCAGCACATATGAAGAAAAGATGCCCCGTTCAAATCCCCACCCCCAGACCATAAAGCGTGCATTTTCACAGAGCAGGTTGTGACATTAAATTTGAGTAAACAACAGGATGCCCGTGTGGCACAGACCGGCCCTCTGACCAGCACTCAGAGGAGCCGTTTCTGCAAATTCATCTGCCACTAAAAACTTTGAAACGCCTCAGCCTCCAACTGAGCATGACAAACACCATGTTGTCGGCTGCACAAGTAAACAAAGAGTCACCATGCAATCCTGGCAGCGGAGAAGCTGAGTTCTGGATTAATCCGATTTGCATGGCAATATCCCCGCAACAATAAGAAAATCCTTTTTAGAGTTACAGTTAATATGGCGATCCTTACCATCTGCTGGCTCGTCTTCTAGCTGTGTTCCCATATTCATTTCAGTGCTGCTAAGTTACTTTTCAAGCTGTTTTTGGGTTTGTTTGTTTTTGTTGTTGTTAAACCCAGTTGCAAAAATATAAATGTGCTTGAAGAATGGCCTGAATATAAAGACATAAACCAAAAATCCCACGAATATGGTTCCACCACAGAAACCAATAATCCCACTAAAAACTCATGTGTTCCTCTCATTAGGCTTTTTCCATTCTTATAGCCAAAATAAAGACCCCTCATGCCTTAAAATTGTTTAAATGAAAATTGCTTGAAAGATCTGATGTGCACATCTGTAGCTTCCGGCCCGGCCATTTTACTCTCACTGGGTTAGCTACTTTCCTGCATTAGAGAAAATACAGGAGGCTTTAATTATGCAAGCCAGCATTGAAGTGGAAGAATGGCAATAGGGATGTGTGAATGTTAAACAATATTACATTTTTGAACCAATTACAGATAGCTAGCATCCATTGGTAGGCTGGAGCTTGCTAAATATGAATATATATATTATGGCTCTCAGCTGTTAGCTGGTTTAATCACAAATGCTACTGGTAACTTAGCAACGGCACAGCTAGTAGCTGCTTTTTCTTACAATACACCAAAGTGCATGTCTAATATAACTGGAGTCGAAATAAAAGCCAACACGTAACCATGTAAAGACTCTACTTGCATGGAACTGGAACAGTTTAATGCGTTTGTGTGTCTATTGACATCGTTTTAGCTGGCATGAATGCTAGCTGCTGCCATGACTGGTTAGCGCTTCATGTTTCAGCGGCTCTATGTGATGAACCGGTAAGTACAATCAGAAAATGAAGAATAAATTATACTGATCTGCATGGTGCCATCTGCACTGTTTGGTTCTTTTGGTGTACTGCTTGTAGCAGAAACACAAAAAACAAACTCATGAGGGTTCCCTTTAATTAGCCTGATAGTTTTAGAGAAAAATTAAACAGTAAGAAGGGAAGAAATCTGAATCCCTCTTGAGTTATGGAATTTGGAGATATAGAACTTGTTTCATTTCAGCCCCTGAGTCACACCCTCACATTTGGTCATATGCTCCATTGGCAGTTGCTGCAGCAGGGCGGGCAGGCCCTTTCAAGCTGTCAACTGCAGAGCTTTCAGAGTGGGAGGGTGTGTTGTTCCACCTGGCGCTGCTGCTATATGCAGACAGGTGGTGGAGAAGAGAGAGGCAGCAAAGGAGGCGAGCCACAGAGTCCGAGAGAGAGAAAGGGTGGAGAGACGAGTCTGTAGATGGAAGAGAAGGATGGCAGAAACACAAAAAAGTGGGGGGAGCCCTGGCTGTCCTTCACCTGTGACACACAGGACCCGTTAGGGGACACCGTGTATCTGTTTATCCGTCTGGCTGTCTCCGCACAGGCTGCAGCAGCTAGCAAGTGACGTTCGGCCGCAAAAAATAGGACGCAGACCCGAATGACAGCAAGCACATCGGTCAGCATGCGTGTCGAACGCCTTCTTATGTTTGACAACTGGGCCTCCCTCACACGGTGTAATATTTAACTACATTAGTCTGAAACGTCCTTTTTGTGAACCTTAGGTTTCTCTTCATGTTCTCTAAATGTGGACTCGATAGTTCCTTTGAAACAGGTGTAATGAATAATAACCCAATAATAACCATACGGCCAATTTAGAAAGACTTCAGGGATCTCCAAACCACAAACTGCTGGCCTTCAGTCTGAGCTGCTGAGGCTCAGTGTGTCTGTGGACTCCCCCTTAATAAAGGGTCGTGTCTTATTCAGAACCACTCTCGCACAAAGGGATCCGACTCTACAAAAAAAACACACCTCAATTATAATTTCCGTGCGAGCCACTGATCCTTCGTTGAATATTCATGACTAATTACGGGCCTTGTTCATCAGCTCTCTTTTGCCAGGTCTATTGTGTCCCTCTCATCTAATTATTCCTGTCCCTAAGTGACAATCAAAGGCAGGGCCAGCCGCCAGCAGACGAGGCTCCCCACCACACTGCGGCCTTTGAGAAGCCCGGGGGGGGCCGGGCCTTGGTGGCTGGCTGTGATGGAAACGGCTTAGAGAGGAGCAGGAGGCACCGCCCCCCCTGAGACGACGGCTGGGCTCAAGTTCAGCTCCACAACGCGGCAACGGAGGCGGGATGGCGCCGAGGCCAGCCAGCCGTTTGGAGCTGAGGAGGCCACGTACCAGGCATGAAGGTGAAGCCGCTGGGCAGCTGCATGACCCCCGTGGAAGTGCCGGCGGTCTTGAGGACGGTCCCGTTTGCGCTGATGTTGCTGCTGGCCGAGACGGGGGCCAGGTAGTTGGTGATGGGGAAGGAAGGCCCGCTGCTCACCTGCATGGTGGTGGATGTGGTCGGTACTGTGGACTGTGCGCTGCTGGCAGTGCCCGGGAGGCTGGCCACTGTGAACGTGGGCTTAAGAGTGTCCTGTAGGGGGAGAAAAATAAATAAATAAAAATCAACAATACTATAAATCATCTGCAGCGGCACAACACCAGCCAGAGGCTGCTGCATCACCCTACCGCTCACTAAACGCCTCAAATTCTACTCTGCTATTCTACAATATAACCCAATGGTGTCTTTTGTTGCCACTTTTTCAGACTTTTCTATCAAAATATCAAACCAATAGTTGGTCAGCCAAGATAAGGCGTTTCAGTTTGAAACTTGCGGCTCCTAAAACAAGACTATTAGTGGACCTCTGACTCTTTGGCTGCATTTGGAGGAGGTTGGAGGGAAGCTTTTAATTCTTGCAGTATTTCAGGGATCAATGGGAGGCTGACAGAAACCAGAGCAGGTTTTAATAGTCGCAGGGGGCAAGTGACTTGGCCAAGGCAGAAAACAGGGGGGGACCCCCTCTAATTGCATCCATATGCGAGATACCCGGCGGTGAGGTAAGGCTGATCCTGCCGTTCCCGTGTCTGCTCACACCACACCAGCCCTCAGTGCAGCCATTTCAGTGGGCTGCTGGAGGTCAACGGAAAGACATCCTAAACCAAACCAATCTTTGAACACAGCAGACGCATGAAGGCACAGCCTCTGCAAACTGAACCCTCAGCTCTGTCCATCCATCCCTCTTTGGTCATTTTCACTGCCCTCATGTTCCAGGTTCTGCTCTGCCCGACTCCGCTGAAGGGGAACAAAAACGCCAATTCCCCCACCCCACTCCTGTTGTTTTGATGAGTTACTATGACAACTAACCAACCTTGTACTGTGACGTCTCTCTGAAAAGGGCAGAGGGACGGAGGAAAAGGAGGTGATCGAGGTGCAGCATCACACCATACGCTCGTGTGAGCGCCCATTGAGCAGCAGAGCAGGATGTGTTGGTGAGTGGGCTGCATGATGAGAGTGGAGTGGGCGTTAGGCTGAGAACATAAAGCAAAGCTGTACCCACAGAGCCTGTGACTACGCGCTCACGCCAACACTTATCACATGATACTAATGATCTTTTATAGTGGGATGGGAGCTCGCTGACATAGGTGGCATTTGTTATTATGTGAACGGTGCTCTGTGAGGATCTAATCCCGGGTGATTAAACAAAAGCACAAAGCCACGCCGGTGCCCAAAAGTCTGCCGGTTTTCTACACTCTTGCTCAAGTTATCACATAGAACAAAAGATTCTCGCGTTTGTGAACTGAATCTAATGGGAAAGTGGGTCATACAGAGAGCCGGTGATGCTCATCTCAAAAGATTTTCTCTCTTTTTAAAAATCTTTTATTTTTATATGCAAGTGTTCGTTTTTGAATGCCCAAGTCGAATACCTGAACTTGATTGAAAAATGTTGTGGAAGGAGCTGAACCGAGGAGGTCATGTGACGACACCTACCGACGTCCTGGCTTTGAAGGACTGCAGCCAAAGTTTGGTTTCACTTACTGATGTGCAGGACATTCAGAGTCCTGACCAGAAGGATGTGACGCCTGTCATCCGTTTCACATCGCTAACGACGACTAGCGAGTAGTAAACTGCACTAAAAGCTGGGGAAATTGCCCCATTCACCCCATTTCTCATTGCTGAGGGATAGCCTTTGGAATATTTCACGGTGTGAGCCAATACCTCCAGAGCTGGACCACTTACTTATTTGCAACAATCCAGCTGCAGAGTTTGGTCGAAGCTATCTGAAATGCAAAAACCCGCTGCTGGTATTGAGAGATGAATACGGTTTAGTGTCTGGAAACATAGCCGTGTGGCAGGCTCAGGGTGTGTTTCGCACTATGAACTTCGAAATTTTTGGACTATATATAAGTTATCTTTTTTCTTAGTTATCTTCAGCAACAAAAGGCCCACATAGGACCAGGTGAGACTCGCTTGTCTTGCCAGAGAGCTATTGGTTTTTAATATGTGACTGATTACATGGGTGAGAGGTGGAGGATCCAGCATGGACTCTTCTGATAAGGCCGTCCTACCGCAGAATATTATGCAAACATGGAAATGGAGCTGCTGTAGGTTTCAGCGCCGCCGCTGTGGCCGCCCTCCATCCCTTTACATTCACGATGTGACACGACGGCCTCATTTTGAACCAACTGAAATGAGAGCGAAGCGTTAGGTTCATAGATCGTCCGAAGCGCCACTGCTGCATCAGCCTTCTGCCCTCTGTGGGGTGTTTGTGGAACCATAACCACACGCAATGCTGGTCAGTTAGTCGGTCTGAAGCTCGGCCGCTCAGTTCCCGGTTCTGCTGAGGGGGGCTCCATCAGTCCAAGGTCCTTTACCTCTTTAGTTAAACAGCAGCTCGAGCGTCAATGGGGGAGGGGCAAAGATTACTCAGTTGTTCTGCCCTCTCAACCAAACTGAATACATTTACACAGCAATCTGTTAGCCCTTCGCAGCTGACTCATCACTCCTGTCATTCATCACCAAGCCATGGCTGATGATTGCAGACGGAGCATGACACGGCTCTAAGCACACCACACCACGTTTCCATTTCACGCTTACACCATCTAAAGACCACAAAAGAACCATTTTTACCTGTGGAGTCACAGGCAAAATGGCATTTCCTACAGCGGGTGCATACAATCTGGCAGGTGACAGAGGATTGCGGCAGAGCTCAGGGGAACAAGTCGTAATGAAGCAGTCGGAGGATAAATGGAGAAAGCAGACAGTGGAAGCCGACGGCATTGCTGCTCAGCCATGCTGTGCGAGTCTGTGTGTAGAAGGCTAAGCAGAGTCAGACCTGTGGAGGGCAAGGGACAGGAGAGGGGTGAGAGTACAAACAGCTGAGGGCACAGACAGCTGGCTGGAAACCTGAGCACCTCCGAGGGGGGGAATTAACCCCTTCCTGCCCAGGTGAGGCAACAAGTCTCGACTCCCACCATCTGATACTTCACGCCAAAGGCGACACAGAATGGTTCTGTTTGACACCCTCATTCTGGTGCCATTATTGGAAAAAAAAAAAAAAAAGAAAAAAGAAAAAAAGGCCCATCGCTTTCCCCGAAGTACACTCTTCAGTGACGAGTGTAAACAGCCCCTGTTCTTAAGCCCCGATGAGGGCTGAAAGTTTGGCTTTAGAAGCCGCGGCGCGTTCTATGAGCCTGCCCTAGACCTGTGTGGTAACCTGAGCGTCCTATGGCCTGCTATCCACGTGACCGACATAGGGCTTCCACTGACCTACTGCTTTGTTTGACCACCACTGTACATCTTCTGTTTGACCACCTAGTCTATAAACAGTTCTGGCTTTCGGTTCAGAGTCACGGCAGATGTAGTAAACATAGACCACCGCTCTGCCCGACCTAGCCACATCCTCCTGATGTCTGTCCGCATCATGTAAAGGCCAAATAAAGCTGAATCTTAAACAAAGTCACCCACAAAACTCCCATAATTCACCTCTTTAGCAACAAAACTCTGCAAAAGTGCAAAACTTTTTGCATTTCCAGGCCTTTTTGGGTAAATAACCCCCCATACCCAGTTCACCTTTTCATCATCTCTTACGTCAATCCTCAGGTCTTCTTTAACCGGGTAACACAACTTCGCAAGTGATGTCACAACTTTATGGTTGTACGGAGGAAGAGCTGAGTCATCTGGAATAAGCAATGAATCCCCAGCACAGTGATGTGCTCCACTCTGACTGCCCTCCTTCACGAGCCACTTAATAATTTTTACAAGATGGAGACCTGATTCCAACTCCAAAAAACAGAAAGCAACAGTTAAACACGTTCCGTTTGGACTACAGCAACTGAGAGAGATATCAGTAAACAAACTATAGGAGACACCAATGGCATCACTGACACTCTCAAGACAACTTTAGGAGTTTCAATATGTTACTTCCTGCAAGTTTGTTCAATGCTCTGTTCATGGAAACAGAAGAAAAGCTTCCTCTTGCTCTGTTAAAGCTCATCGAAAGCAGACAGGGACAGTTTTTTTTTTCTTTAGAGGAAGAAAGATAGATACATTAAAAAGAGAAAAAGACATGGATTTTTATTTAAAAAGAATGAACCTTTCCAAGTGAAAGGTGACAACTGGCAGGTTAGTTCGGTGTTGGTTAGAGAGCCCATTGTGTGGTTTACTGGTGGCTGGCCCTCATCTAATCTCCCATTTGCTGGCTCCCATCTCCCAGTCTGTCACCCTGCCAGCAACATGGAATTTGCAGCTCCATTTGGGACTGCTAAAAAAGGCAAGGCAGCCCAAGTGGAGGAGGTGCAGCCAATGGCGGCTGACCTGTCCAGTTGCTTGCTGTAAAATAAGGGGGAAGAAGTGGGAGGGGGTTAAGGGGTGCGTGACATAACGCTGCCTGCCTTCCTGCCTCTCCAACACAGCCGACGTGCACTTTCATTAATGGTCAGTATCATGAGCGCTGATGCTGTTCCGAGTGACATTAGGTGTTTCCAGAGCCACTTGGCGGGGGGAGAACAGACCTGCCAGCACAATGGCCTCAGGAAGTTTTCCTGGTTTCCTTTACTTGGCGAAGACACTAATGAGTGGGGCAACAAATAAACTTCAACAGGATTTCAACGGCAAAGGCACGAGCTGAAGGGAGGACGCAGGGAGAGGGATGGGGGTTAGGGAAGAAAGGACAGAAAACCGAGGAAGGGATGGGGGGAAAACCAGAGGAGACCGATACTGTGAATTCAGCTGAGATAGATGCTTTAGGCAGGCATGAGTTGTGGGATTTGCTATCCGCGTCCAAAAATAACCCCAAAAGCATAAAAACAGCTGTACTGTAGCCATGTCTGGTTATATCAATCGGATATAAACAATCCATGTGTCCGTTGAGGGATGTAGGGAAGGCCCAATCGGCCGCTCACCCACTAGTGGAGTTTTCTCATGAATCCTATATCCATCCTACCTCCTTCACCTCTATTCCTGACATCACATTTCCCAGAATTCCTGAGAGAGCAGTCTTGAAAGTTTGCCTGGGGAATGCTGGTCTTGTGAGTACGGGCAGGCCAGCAACAGCAGAGCAGAAAGGGCTTGCCACGCTTCAAAAAGGAGTCGCAGACTTTAATCTTGATGTGTTATCTTAAGATTCTTATTCGCTCAAATGAGAGGCGACGACGAACTGACGCTGCCCTGTGTGACAGCTGAAAGGGATGCGTCTACGGCCGGCTCACTTCAGTGTGAGGCTCCAAGGAGATCTGAAAGTTCTAGAGCAGCGCCCTTGGTTTTACCATGACGCAACTCGGAGTGAACGATTGACAAGTAGCTAATGACCATTGTCCAGTCTGATGGAGAGACTTTATACGACAGAGAAGAAAGGAACTGTTCACTCAATCCTTTATCCCTCAGTCCTGAGAATAAGCCCCACATCCTCAGCGAACAGCACTAAATCGTGTCTTCGTCACTTATCGCCCGAGTCTAAATGTTCTCCAACAACCCCCCCCCCACCAGCCGCTGCTAACCTTGACTTGTTTAGACTCACTCGGGCTGTATGCACGACATACTAGGCCCTCTCATACTGGACAGTGTCCAGATGCAGCAGATGTGGATCTAGTGGCTACACTCTAAAGTGGACTTATTCCTAAAAGCCGCCTTCACCTGCCAAGTCCCAACCACAAAAGCTCCTGCCGTGGGCCGCACGGGCGCTGTGGCGTGCAACTGAAACGGGTGACGCGCGAAATTGGGCCAGAACTGCAACTTCCATTCCACCAGCTTGTATCATCCATCCATACCTCCCCTCCATATCACTTAAATGAGAGGCTGGGGGTGGGGTGGGGGCGAAATCACAGGACTCCAAAGACAGCTGCAGCTTATAAGGAATGTGAGGGGCCTCAGCCAAGACTGCAGGCAGGGAAACCATACCATATATGGCAACAGAGGCAGAATCTAATTTTTATCAATGAGCAGAGCGGGCATGAGAGTGCTTGACATGCAAAGGTTGGTCTCCCATCCTTGACGGGGTATGGTCCGCGTTAGTTAGCGCCTGTAAAAACAGCATGCGGGCAAATGTGCCTGTGAGCGGCCGTCTTCAAAGGGGCATGCTGAAGCTGTGTAAACAGCCGGGGAAATCTCAGCCTGCAGCACGTGATTGCACAAAGGTGTGAACAGTGAAGTGTGTCTGCTGGAAATTTATTGCTTTATAGCATTTTTGGATATCTTTAAAAAAAAAATTGTATTAAAACAAAATAAAAACAGTTGCAATGATGGGGTAGGAACAAAAAATGAGCACCCAAACTAATGAGAAGACGGTGCCTAAAGGAGTTGGCTTTTTTTTTTTAAATTTACTTTCTGGAGTGTAAAATTCCAAGATTTGGAATGGTACCGGCTCTGTTTGAGAATCTTAAAGTGTGATCCGTGAACATAAGACAGCTCCATCCCGAAATCTAACATAAACAGCCCCAGCCTGCATGTTTCTCGTCCTAACGCAGGCCAGACCTGCGGTAGTTTATCTTTAGGGGTGTTGTGAGGTTTCCCTGGGGGAGAGGTCACAGAGGTAATGTGCTGTGGGTTCACTGCCCTCAACTTATCTGACTCTGCCTTTGTCTTTTACTTCTTTAAAAGGGTCTCCTGAGACCATTTGGTTTCAATAAAAAATGTTTTAGAGCCCAAAAACTAGCTTAAACCAGAACCCCACATGAAACAGGCAAAAACTGTTTACAATAGGATTTTTTTTTCCACAGATGCTTGTGGGTTTGATTTGTTCGCTCTCCTTGTGAGCTGGCCTTTTCTGGCAAGACTTAACCAATATATTCATTAGTGACTCTCCACGGTACTTTTTTTTTCTTTTAGACTCACTCTGCAATTCATGACTCCATTAGAGAGCAGACAGAGGGTGAGTCACAGAGACCCGAGTACCATTGTTACCAATGTGCTGAAATAAGAGCAGTCCATTTTGGGGTTGCACTGCTGCCGCCTTCGTGTTAATCTCAGAATTAGTTTTCATCGGGACCACTTCTTGTTCTCACCTTTGTGTCACCCATGCTCTCTGACTCAGACACCTGGTAGGTGAGGTCTGTCTCCTCGAAGCCCGTGGCGCTCATCCGCTGGTCCATGGATGGGTCGGAGCGCGGCGGCGAGTCCGGGGAGTTGAGGCATGTCTGGATCAGGGCTTTGCCCGTCTCGCTGGTGATCATGGGCTGCAGTTTCCGGGTGGCAAACGTGTAGACGTGGCCCGTTTCACTGGCCACGAGCAGCAGAACCTGGGTTCCAGTCAGGGTGGACAGCTCATACGCCTGGAAAGAAACAGATAAACCAGATATAAAGAGCCGTCGAGGAGACAACGGGCCACCACTTTAGAGCTTCTCATCAGCTTTGCGTAAACCCAAAAATGATTCTTAACAGGGGAGGGAGAGAAGAGATTCCCCAAGATGGACCAGTGGTAAAAAGCCAAGAAAACATGAGGACCTACAAATAGTTCTGTAGTGAACTGTGACGTACTCCACCAATAAATCTAAAATAACAGAAGATAAGCCTCCCAGAATAGAGGGTGAGATACAGCTGAGAGACAGCAAAGGGCTAGTTTCCAAGAGGGGGGGGGGGGATTAACACCCCTGAGGACAGAGGACAAGAGGAACGGTTGATAAGGCAGAGGTAGTTGGCCGTATGACGCGAGGCCTAAATCGTCTAAATCGGCTGTCTTGTCCTTCATTACGCAGCAGGCAGACGCTCACACTCAGAAGCCCCCCCCAGCTGTGAGGGAAAGGTGCACCCAAATTCAACTCCAGCACACGCTCACACACACCGACAAATCAAACACATCCCATGCTGCACTCGGAGTGAACTCCTGAGAAAGCCTTTTGATCACAATGAGTCATCAGTTATGTGGAGGATGCTCCTGGAACAGTGCCATTGCCAACACCTTGACGCGTGCGCGCACACACACACACACACAAAAAAAGCAGAGGCTCGCTGACAGATGTGCCATTGTCAGCTGGAGTGCGATACTCTGTCAGGCGCAGCCCGCGGCAGATGTCTTACATTCAAATGAGAGCGCTTTATTGAGCAGCAATAAAGCCGTGTATTCTTCCTCTCGTGCTCGCTTTTCTTGGACAGTTTTGCACCCACTCAGTTGGGGCGCAGCAGCAAGAATAGCATCAACGTGCACAAATATTAAGACGCTTTACGTTTTCCTTGAGATTTATGAGGCTTCTGGGGGGTTTTTTGCGGCCGGCCGAGCGCTAACGCAGCCTTCCAGAAGCAGTGAACTACACGGCTCCGCTCAGCCGCCTCTTATGACATCCCTCTTTATTAACTGCACACCAGCTACAGCGCAGTCTCTCTACAACACAGACTCACGTTTGGCCAACTTCCAAGACAGAGTAGGGTTAATTTGTCAGTTTGAGTGTCCTTTGTGGCTCCACAAACTAGACCTAAACAGTGCTCTCGTTAGATTCCCTGCTCTGCTGAATTTCACATAAATACTAAAGGCTGCAGGTGTGTGTGTGTGTGTGTGGGGAGGGGGGGTCTTGTGCTGGGGGCTTGGGGTCAATGCAAACAGTTCCTCTGGCCTCAAGTTGAGCCTGTTTATCGAATAACAAGACAGAAAAAAGTGGAAAATTCACAAACCAGGTGAACTTATTTTTCTTGGCTGGTTATCATTTAAAAAGATTGAGGAAGATCTTAGGAGAAAAATAATCATTTCAATAATCTACACTTACCAAAATGTAGGTGCAGCATTTCCTGCTGCTCCTAAATGGAATGGGGCCATTGTTACGTTTATTGGCTACACCTGTGCTGCTCCTGCTGTGAAGTTTAACTGTCTGCTTTAAAAAAATAAAACTGAAGCTGGAGAATGAGCAGAGACAAAATGGCAACACAAACCGAGATAAAAATGTCAACTGTGTATTCACATAGCCAAAATCGTACATCAAGCGAGGAGAGAAATCCCCCTATTTTCTCAACTCCATCCTTCAAAATGAAGATGGGTTCATCCTAGTTTGAGAGCAAACTACTATGGATGTTCCCACTCCACCCACCTGTCAGTTTCTGAAGTGATGGCTGGCACAGTGTGGGCAACGTTTGCAAAAATCTCCATCCCCTCATTGTGTCAAATAGTGTCCATGTTGCCAAGAGCCTACATAAAGACACCTCAGTTTCCACGACAACAGTCTGGGATACATAAAGAGGGAGAGAGAGAGAGAGAAACACAGCAGAGCAGGCAGAGCGGGCGCTTTGAAGAAAGCCGGGGATGCCAGACAATTCTTCGACTCAAGTAAAGCACCGCCGACAGGTCTTTGTTTAAAGCCCATTAAAAACAACAAATATAAAAAGTGGCCGAGTCAAGGTCAACAGCCGTGTCCCGTTTGTGGTCAACAGATGGCCCGGTTTCCTGATGACCAACTTTTAGGGACTTTCTGCCAAACTGACTCTCGGTCAGGGCAGAGACTGTGTGGGAGTGTTTGCACTTTTCCCAAGAAATACTGTTCTGCTTTTAGTAGATGGTCAGAGATGCTCATCACGACTACCATCAAGCGAGTCCCGCCACCGGCCCGCTTGCCTGTGTGCCGGACTCGGCTGAGACACCGACACAGAGCCGGGTTTTCGCTGAGGCTGGGTGCCTGCATCAAGAGGTGGAGTTCCAGAAGGCGGTCCACAGCTTCTGTGTGAGTGCACGCTGGCCGTCCTGAGCCCTTTCCCTGGGGTTTGGTCAGCTGTTGGCTCAGGCGGCCCACTGCTGCTCCCTGCCACATGGCTGCCGCCTGTCAGCAGGCTGGGGAGGGGGAAAGGCCCGCGTGCGCCAGTGCCCACCGGGGGGGGGGGGCCTTTTGCAGTGGCTGGTCAGTCAGGGGAGCCGTGCTGCAAAGGGCTTGTGTGCGTGAATCAGTGTCAGTTTATCTGGAAATCTGCGAGTGTGGTAGACAGTGGGGGTGAGCGTGGTCATAAATAGAACTGTCATTTGTTCAGGTCTATTTACAGCCCAATTGCCTGTCATGAAGGTCCTGACTTCCTGCATCCACTGAGTCACTTTGTGCCACGACTGTTTGGTCTCAGGAGAAAGGGTCCTTTGACACCAAACGTGATCCTGCTCAGTACTCTGACAACATCATCATTTGTTTAAACCCACTATTCCTCAGTCATATTGTTTTTAGCCACTTCCACGTGCACTTTTCCCCACTGTTTAGGCTGGACAGGTGCTGCATTATCCCTTACTGACTCCACGAGTTACCACCTGAGAACAGTTTCCTACTCAATCAACACGTGTGGGACTCAAATGTTGGTACAGCTCCAGAGCAGAACCATCACCGGACTCACCTTTTTCATAATGCCCGTCTTCCTCTTACTGAAAGTGGTGTAGCGTCGCAGCTTGTTGTCGATAAATTCCATCTTTATCTTCACGCGTCCACGTGTCTTCTTCCCGGGCTTTGCCCCGGCTACTCCTCCGGACACCATGCCGTAGGCTCCGGCAGGTAGTCCCACCTCCTGCCCCGTGCCCGCAGCCTCCATCTCCCCCCTCTCGCGCTTCACCCCTCTCCTGCTGTCCCCGAGTGAACCCACCGGGTCATCGTCGTCCCCGGAGTCCGAGTCATTATCCGAGCCGCTGCATATAGGAGCGTTCTCCGGGTCGAACCGGGCACCGTGGGGCAACACAACTCCGGAGCTTAGCCCCATCATGTTTCCTTGGACGGTGGTCTGTAGCGGGTTCACCCCGGTCCCGTTGCCCGGCCTGGCGCCTCTCGGACCCCCTGGACCATTAGCCCCCAGCATCCCGACGGCGTCCCGCTCACCCGGACGCCCCGCGGCACCGGCGCCTTCGCCCACCCCCGGTAAAGCTTGCACTCCTCGAACCAAAACGGGGCGAACGCCGCCACCGACACCCGCCGAACCGTGTCCTGTCGTGCCCCTGCCTGACGCTGACCCGTTTCCAGATGGTGCCGAACCAGCTTGGCTGGGCAACATTCTATTTACTGGACCGGGTTTCTAAACGCCAGCCAAAAATGCTGGAGCGTGTTCTGTCGCAAGTGCCTGACAAAACGCATACACGCCTGGGCCACTGAATGTAAACAAACCACACCAGTTGGCGCTCTGAAGACTCGAGTAAATTACCGATAAAAACTTTCGAGAGTGATGCTGCCCCCAGTACCCCTTAGCCCGGGCTTAGTTTGGTTCATCCTCCTCCTCTATTTCCAAAACTCCGAGCACTTTCTCAAAAAGGAAAGAGCGGAGAGCGCCCCCAATATTAATACGCTACGTCAAATAGTCCACATCGTGAACCACAAGTAGCGCAATAATTGGTCTGTTGGTATATTTTTACGTATCATAATATCATTTATGTTTGAACATGTATCTCGCAATGGATCTGGAACGCTTAGAAATACAGTATTTTTCAGGAGTTTATGCGACAGCGGAGGGATTTCACAACCGGGGAACTACTTCCCTCCTTATAAAGAGATACGTTTCCTTATTTGGTGCTGTCTCTCCTTATTTGGTGAGTCACAGCGTCGCCTATCGATTGGCTGAGGATTATCTGAATGGTGTTGTCATTGGTCGATGAAGAACCCTCATTAGAATAAATACCAAAATGGTTGCGCTAATGTCAACGTCACAGTGAAAACGCGAGGGACCAAAATAATAATAAACGTCTAAGTTTATTATTTTCCCAAAGGTGACAGCGAGTCTCACCGAAATGGTCGATATCATTTGCGGGGTAAACTTTTTGGGTGGGGTTTAGAGATTTTGAACATGGCTGCAGATTACAGCATACATTCATTTAAAGGTGCCCACGGCAAGGTTAAGTTCGAATCAATTGTATGGTGTAGCTAACACCTCTAGTAATACTTCTATTAGCATCATTATTGAACAACTACGCCCATTTTTAAACGTTGTTAAAATGCGTTGGGGGGTTTTTGACACAGAAACTTGTAAACGTGTAAAAGTTGTAATCAGCATATTAAACTTTCCCATAACTGCACAGCTTTTACAAAGGAACCTTCCACAGCAGACATTTTCACTGCCAGGGAAAGTTCCTGTGTGTCTAATATCATTAGCACTGTCAGTGGTTTACTGTAAGTGTCCTTGAGGGTCCTGATTTAGGCCAGCACGCACAACACTGGGACAATGACACAAGCAGGCAAACTCAAGCCGCACACCAATGTTGTGACACTTTAGTTAATCTTCGGAGAACAAAGGCCTGGTGCTTCTGTCAGTGCTTTAGAAGTAGTAAAACCCTCTCACAATTCCAAAAGGCAAGTTATGACAAATGCCAAGTATTATAGCATTTGAAATTGGTTTCACACCGAGGAGTTGCTGGAATGATACCAGGGAACATTTACTAAAAAGGGGAGGCTTAGATAAAAATGCTGAGTTGGTGAAAAGCCCGTTAAAGCCAAGTTTAAGATGTTAAGGCTTGTATGATAAGAGTTGGAATAAAAAAGAAACTAATGAATACCTCTTCTCCCTCAGCCTCTTACAATTGCAAAATTTCCAAACTACTCTACAACTTATGAGCCATTTACTTCCCGTTCTGTGCCTGATGTGCTTTATGCATCAGTATGTAGTACAGCAGACAAAAAAGCTCAGACACAGGTCACTGTATATGCAATACTCAAAGTTTACCTGAGGACAGAAGGCGCGATCCAGGAATAGCACCACTTTCAAAGCTGGCTGCTCAGCAGAAGAAGAAACACCTATGTTCACAAATACAAGAAAACACTGATATCATGTGGTTGATTCTGGATATCCAAAAGCCAACACTGTTGCATGGAACTACACTTTAATGGAAGGTTAGTAAATACTCGACTTAATACAGAGCTATGGCACCACCTACTGGTTTTAGGAGGATGATTTTTGGAGGGCTGCAGCACAGAGTTGCATCGGCTTATCTGGACGGAATTGCTTGATTTTTCATAACAATCTACTAACTGGTGATACTGCAGCAGACAGAAGCCCGTCAATTTTCACATTTTCTCCAACAGTGTCTTAAGGAGTCTCAGATTTCATATGATGGCCACCTATGATATCAATCACACATCACATTGGGTAAAAACACTGTGAACCTTTATTGACAGCAGCATGAATACTTGTGAACATAGTTGTGATTACGGTGAACATTTTGCTGAAGCAGATAAAAAAATGTTAAAAAAATTAAAAAGGTCTAGGTGTGAGTGCCTAGCAGTCATAAAAACATTACACTAAACCATACAAATACAACTTTATAAACAAAGGCCATTTCATTTTGATTAGATAATGTATAAAAAAGGGAACGTATTAAGATAATCCTTCATTGACCAGGCACTTAAATGAATGCTTGCGACCTAGAGTCACACTTTTGACCTCCTTTGTACTTCGTGTTAGCATACTCAGCTGGGTAACAGACTGAATGCACACTGAGATGGACTGTGAGAACAAATACAGAGCATAACTAGCTCACAGAAGTACCTTTCTATTACAGAGTTAAACCAAACAGGACCTTCATCATAAATAAACAGGCACCTGCGTGTCCCTCTACACAACAGGACAGGAAAAAAAGAGGGAGAGTCTTATAAGTGAAGTTAGTGCATGGCTTCTACATTATGTACACATTTGCCTGGTGCGATGGTCCACTTAGCAAAACCGCACTTTACATTTGGAGCATGACAGAAACAACGATAGAACCTCTGAGGACATTATTTTGCAGGTTAACATTGCTGATAAGCTGAATCCCTGCAATTGAGTCAACATGATTATGTTAATGAGTACTCTTACCCATTGGTAGACACAAGTAAGCACCTCAAAAGTTAATACAAGAACAAAAACACATTTATAAAAAGATATAAAGCCCCACACTGGCACATTCTCCATTCATTATTTTCCTTGGCTGTAGAACATAATCTTTTATCATTTTGCTCATGAAGTGTTAGCAGAACATGGTTTAGCTTGATCATGTTGCAAATCAGAAAGTAACAGTTGAATAACCTTCATACGAAACTCGTTCCGCTTCTTGTTTGAATTCATAATGTAGCACGAAATAGTGATGGTCATGTATCCCACTCAGGGGTAAAGTTAGCCGTTTATAAATTAAGCTAACTTAAGTTTAAATTGAAACAAACCAGTTAAGATGACCACTTTGGATGTTTTTAAGTGGCCGATTTCTGGAAGGCCTTCCCACTTTCTCCTCTGTGCTTTCTCTGCTTTTCAGAGAGAGCACAGAGGAGATCAGCGCAGAACCTACATGTCAGCAGTTTTCTCCACTGACCAGAGAAGCGTACTGTCCGTCCGTGGGCCAGTCGACGGCTAATGTGAGAGTGTGGGATGGGGCAGAGGCACTGAGGTTACGAGGCTCCGTGTAACAAAGTGTCCACAGACGGGCGGGGTCACAGCGGAAGCACACGCAGACCGGAGAGGCTGATTGTCCATGCTGGGGCTAAGGCGACGCTCCTGGCACTGCTCACACGAAGCCGCTCGCACAAATGCGAGTGTGTTTATTTTTTGAAAGAGCAAAAACAAGTCTAATCCACACTCAATCGAAACGCATAAAAAAAAAAGTTTTTCTTCAGCCCTCTTCCCTGAAATGTGTAAGACTAATAATTCAGCATCTCTGTCATTATTTAGGGGGAAGTTCTGCTTCGCTGTGCGTTTTCACATCACACTTTGCTGTCAGAAGGCAGCTCCCCCAGAGCGTGGACGATGTCGGTGAAAGAGGGCCGCTCTTTTAGTCCAAGTGCCCAGCAGCGGACCATGAGCTTGTAGATTTTGGAAGGGCACCCATCCGGAACGGGAAGCTTCAGCTTGCCCGTCTTCAGCCCTGCGTGCAGAAGAGTCGTGGTGTGACTTTTTAAACATTTATTTCAAACACCACATCACTTTTCCCTCTTTTCCTGCGGCCGGTGTAAGGAACATAAAGCGGCTACGCTCACCTTCCAGCACCTCGTCGTCACTGAGCTTGCTGTATGGCATTTCCCCGTGGCTGAACACCTCCCACATCAGCACTCCAAAGGCCCACACGTCAGACTTGGTGGAGAAGTCGTCCTCAAACACCGACTCTGTGGGGAGCCAGCGCAGGGGGATCCATGCCTGCCTGTAGTGGAAGTACTCGCTGCAAACGGAAACACGGATGCTTAACACAAGCTCTTTTACTTGTGGACCTGCTGGCGATTCGAGTGCGCAAACGTTTGGAGTGCTGCGTCCCGTATAGCAGACCTGTTGTAGACGTCCTTGCTGAGGCTGAGGGACGAGACTTTGATCCGCCTCTGGCTGTTGATCAGACAGTTTCGGGCGGCGAGGTCTTTGTGAACAAAGCGGTGATTGGACAGGTGCTCCATGCCGCGAGCCACCTGGGCGCAGATGGAAACCTGTAGACAAAGAGAGCACATCTGTCAACCAAAGAGACTCTCACAACATTCTGTGGTAATTTGAGCACAGGCTACTGTGACCTTGTCAGCCATTGGGCGCCTTCAACACTTACTTTGGTCTTCGTGCTGAGAGGCTGAGATTTCGCTTTGTCATCTTTGCTTTTGGATATTCTCAAGAACTGCTTCAGATCTCCCTGTCATTAAAAAATAAGACAGACGATGGTAGCAGGTTTAATGAAAGGATGTGGTTGATACACATGAGGGTGAGTGTGCTTTTGCTCCTGTGTTATTACCAGGTCGTAGTACTCTAGAATCATGTAGTGTGGCTCCGCCTCCCTGCACAGGCCCAACAGGCGCACCACGTTGGGGTGGCCGAGTTTGGCGAACATCTCAGCTTCGCGGCGGAAGTCGAGCTGCAGCTGTTCGTCTCTGGACTGCAGGCTCTTCACCAGCACCACGCTCTCCTCCTCCCCCTCATCGATACCTTTGGCTTTGGAGAGCAGCACGTCGCCGAACTCCCCTTTACCTGAGGAGACAGACACACGTTGGAGCACTCAAAGCTCAGACCCAGGATCGGCTGGGATCCTTTCAAATCCGAGGGGATAAAAGATAGTCGGTTTACCTAAAGTAGTGATGGTTTGGAGGTTTGTGCGAGGGAAGTGGAGCTTATCGTTGGCGTGGCTGTGGCGTTTCTCAGTTGTTGCGATGGTGCCCATGTTGGTGAGAGCCACCTCCTCCTGGATCTCAGCTGTGGTGTGACCGTTTTGTTGAACGGCCCCTCCTGAATATATTTAAAAAGACAAAAAAACAAAACAACCCACATTGGATCCACAATCACATCTTTCAGACAAACTCACTGGTCATTACTGTCCCTACACTGGACACAAGGGGGCAGCATTTATCTTAAACTTCAACACTGAACTCAACCAGGAACTCTCATGAGGGATTTTCCTATGTTCGTACCATTAAGACACTCCATCTCGGGCTCCTCTCCATCCTGGCCCTTCTGCAGCCGCTTGGCGTTGCGTCTCTTTTTGCAGTAGAACATGAGCCCCAGCACCACAATGATGTAAGCCACAGCCGCCCCCACCGACAGGCCGATGGTTTGGATCATCTTGTACGGGGCCTTGTCTTCATCTTCATCATTGAAATGCACCGGTTTGTCTGCTGGACACAGGCACCATGTTTGAACGTGCGACCTCTATGAAAATGTCCTCATTCACATACATTTGAGTGTCGTCAGATTCTGAGAAATACGGCAATGGTTTTTAGATTGGATTTAGTATCTACATCAGGAGCTATCAGAAATCTGCAGAGCGACATCTGCGCCACTCAAAAGCAAAAGTGTTAAGCCCTTATCTGTGGAGCTGATTCAAACGTTCCAACAGTCGGGTTATTGCTCTGGTTTTGCCGTCTTGCAAACACTGAAACTCAATTCAACCCAATCCTGCTACTTTGGAAGAAACCGAGTTTAATAAAAGACACCAGTGTGAGCGTGTGACTGTAATATTCTGCTGTACACAAAGAGCCTCAGAGTGTGAAGCCTTATTAGATCCCACTCTGCCCGATCCCATCACCCCCGAGACAGCCGCGCTGTCAGTAGTGCGGCTGTGGTTATTAACTTGTCGCCATGGGTGACAGACGGATGAGCAGGTTTAATGAATGCCTTTATTCGGCTCCTGTGATCGGTGCTTACACGCCACGCGTGCAACTTTTGTTCCTCTTAAAAACCACTTGATGAACTCACCCACAACATACAGCTGAGCCACGCGGTCTTTGATGCTGCAGCTGTTTCCGGCCACACACGTGTACCTGCCCGTGTCGTCTGTGCTGACGTCTGTGATCACCAGCGAGCCGTTGGGCATCTTCTGGAATCTGGAGGAAAAAGAAACCATGGAAGGGGCAAATCAGAATGTTTCTTCCTACAGACGCCCTTTGTTTCCCCACTTCCCCACAAATTGATAAATTCGACATGAAAAAAATATTATTGCTCCAATTATCTGCCATATTTTGCAATCAAATATGCATCTGTATGGGAAGTTTTTTTCCTCAAGTGTTAAAAATGGCCCTCCAATTATATATTTTTTAATCTATTCAGAGTGAGACCAACAACATGACAGTTTAAAAAAGGGAATAGCAGGCTTTTCTCATTTTTTTGCAGAGGGCAGTCCTGCTTTATTTAATTCCGTTCAAGGAGACAGATGATGATCACTCCTGGGCAATTATACACCCTTAAACAAGTCTTATTAGATATCATAGATGGCACCGTTAAAAGTTTTGTAAAATACAGTGCATGTGTGCATTGTTTAAAACCAATGAATGCTGTGATTTTACATAAAGTGCACCATCTCAGTGGTGTATAAGGAGGGATTTATAGACATTTAATGAAGAAAGTGCAAAGATCAGCCTACAACTGACTGTCTTGTAGTAAACTGAGATTTCAAATCCACTAACAAGTGTGTGATTTACCTCCAGTTCTTACTGATGTCCAGCGTCTTGTCTTTAGCCATCCAGTGTATGTGCGGCTCGGGGTCACCGGTGGCCTGGCAGTGCAGGATGGCTGTGTGGCCCTGGTACACAGTTGTATTTTCTGGTTCTACCTTAAATCGAATGTACACTGTTTGTGCACACAGATACACACACACACACACAACAGAAAAAATAAATCAAATGCTTGTTAATGCAAGACCACAGCTGATGAAAGCCATTTCCTTCTGAGACATGTGACTGTTGGTTAAGAACCTCTCTACTACACCGCGCAATTCATTAGAGGGCTGTAAAAAGGCCACAAAGCGCACAATAAATGTAGCCGTGCTCAAAATGTCAAGTGAGTGAGGAACTATTACACCGATTAAGTCATCCATGTGTTTACTGAGACCACAACTGCTTTCAATGTGGGGCTGTTGAATAATCCGGTAGCGTTGCCCAATAGTGCCATACTCCCCGTCTCTTCTGAGCGTTGCTGCTTACCGGCCACAGTGAGTGTCACAAAGGCTTTGATCTTCCCCTGCAGGCTGTTGGAAGCAATGCAGGTGTAGTTACCGGCATCGCTGCGGGTGACTTTGGTGAAGTGGAGCTGACCGTTTCTCTGTTCCACGTGAGGTGGCAGCTCCCCTCCGTCTGCAGGGGGAGACAGAGAGGCAGGCTGTTATGAGGGGAGTGGGGGAGGCCATGTGTGGTCTGCTTTTAAAACCATTCTGGCTGACTGAGACCAAAAGAGAAGGTGCAGTAGATTCTTCATCACAGATAATGTTTGGCTCCTGAAGGTTTTTCTCCTGGTGCATCAATGCTGTTATAAAGGCGCTAAGTGCCACTGCATTTCAGGTCAGTCTGGGTGAAAACAGCCCCTCTTTATCTGTTCAAAAGCCACTGGGAGAAAACGTTAAGCCAGTGCGGTGTGCATACCTGCTTTGGTCCAGCGGATTGTGGGGCTCTCTCGGCCTTTTGCAGAGCATTGGATTGTGATCTCCTTATCCAGCTCCAGGCACTGGAAGGACTGGGGGGTCGGCGTGAACTTCAGCTTCTCTGAAAAAACAAGTCAAAACATGGCACATTACACATGTGGTTAACACATGGGTGGGGGTTTGGGTGCCAGTCAAAGCCTCTTTTGTGCGACGCGGCCCACAGATAAAATGACACTAAGCCGATGTAAATCAGGGTCACACGTATTTGGGGAATAGTGGCTTTACACGAGCACACATCTGATGAACGTAAATACTGAGGTCTATCAGATGCTGGGAAAGACAACAAGGTGACATGTCAAGCCGCCTATCACAGTATGATGCTACAGACAGGAATTTATCACACAGATAAGGTGTGAGAAGGCCAAATAGAACAAAGCTGCTGCGTGCAAGTCATATTCCACACCTCTGTGGGTGTCCTGCAGCCACATACACAACACAAACTTCTCTTATAGAAAGCACATGCACAAACGCCATCGGGAATAGCCGCATTTGTATCCAGATCTTTTCTCATCTTTGATTTACTGTTCATGTTTTTGGATGTTTTATGTTATCATTCAGCCTGGGCCAGAGATTTCACACGGAGGCTGAGGCAGGATGTTGATTTAACCCCACGGCTTACCGAGGACCGTGACTCTGGCCTGGGCATACAACCGGCCACCTGCATTCTTGGTTTCGCAGCCGTATTTATGTGCGTCGTACACTTCCACATTGTTGATCCTGAGGGTGCCATTAGTGAATAACTTAAAACGGGAGTCCTGATGGGGAAAGAGGAAGAAAGAAAAAAAGGGAAAATCTATTTTATTCGTTCATATCATGAAAGAAAATCAGGTAATAGTACAAAGGAAATGACAGTGCCAACAGACCTCAGGTGTAATTGTGATATTGTTGCGAAGCCAGGTGACCTCAGGCTGAGGATTGGCCTGAGCTTGGCAGTGGAGGTATCCTGGTCTACCTTCTTCTAAACTGCTGTCCTGAGGTCTCAACACCCACACGGGAGCAGCTGTGGATTCATGAAAACAGGGAAGATTTGAACATGCATACTTATATGTAGCTAATCAGGGCTCCTTTGAAAGAACACTTTAAGTGCTGATTAGTAACTTCCTTTGGCCAGTCTAAATATGGACATCATCATTAATGTCTGCATCTGACAGATGGTCCCAGTTTTTCTGTTATGCTGCTGGCATTAGTGTGCCTAATGTGAAGGAGTGTAGATTTTTTACTGGCATGTGCTCCAACTTGGTTACATGGTTTGCATGGGTATTTTTTTGGCTTATGCTCAAATGGAGGGAACTCTTTAAAAAACCTTTCTTGCTCAGATAAAGCTTCACAACCCTTTGCCATGGTTCCATGCTCTTACTCGACAGAAAATGCCTTTTCTTATTAACCACAAAAAAATAAGCCATGGCTGTTCACACTTTTTTTCAAATACATTATGATAGCAACCCTAACCCTCACTTTTAATATCACCATGTAAAGTCTGAGATGGAACTCTTGGCTAAAAAGGGGCATGTTGTTCCTCAATGGGCAGTTCTTTATACAGTATTTGGGTGTAAGAAGACATTAAAAACCTGGACGACAACTCAGAAAGTCCACTGTGAGTCCAATGAGCTCAGTTACTTGTACTAATTGAGTTTCCATACTTACTGGCCACGGTGAATGTGACTTCCTGCATCCTCCGGCCGGCCTTGTTCTGGGCCACACAGGTGTAGGTGCCTGAATCTCCCTCCTCTGTTGGACTGAAGATCAAATACTGGCCCTCTTGGTGCACCCTGCCCTCAGAGGGCACCCGCTGACCTTCTCTCTCCCACCAAACCTCAGGGTTGGGCTTGCCACGCGGGGGGTAACAGGCCATCTGCTGATTGGTGTTGGCTGTGAACACTTGTGACATCTTGGGTGCCATATCATCTATTTCTGTAGTGGATTGCAGGGATATAATTAACTCTCAGCAGAATTTAAATGTAAAAATGTATCTCCATTTGATCATTCAAAGCAAATTAAACATTTAAAGTTTTATCCCAAGCACGCTTAATTCCAAAAAACTGTTCTGATGAGGCATTTCTTGTCTTGTTAGGATAAATCCTCTGATTTGAGGCACAGGGAAAGCAATTACACATGAAAGTGCACAGTAGGCAAGCTGAGAACATAGGTGGTACTTAGGGTGGGAATTAACTATCGAAGGAGGATCAGACCAAAACCAAGAGCTCCTATACAGAAAACTGAATCTTTGTCAAAAGTTCACAAGACCCCACGCTTCTGTGAGCTCTAATACACTCCAAATGGAAGTCATTAATTCTTGATTGGCTGACTGCGGCTCAGACTTTCTACACTTCTAAATCAATTACTGGAAATCGATGAAGACGCACATTTTGCAGCAGATGAAAGAGAACCGGAGCAATGAGAAGGGGGAGGGCAGAGAGCGAATGAGGTGGAGCTCTGATAGGTTGTTCCAACTTGTCCCTAAATACTGAATTCTACTGTGACACAATCCCCCTATAATGCCTGCGAGGATTACCGTCAGATTAAGTGAATTAAGGTATTTAAATGGAGCTATGGTTCACTGGGTTAAAACTGCCGATACATTTGTAGCTTCTTAATCCCAAACCCTTTGGGAAAAGGGTCTATTTGAGAGGAATCTGGGAATCCAGACACTGAGATGTATAGAAATTCCAGCCCTGAGATTATTCAGAATATTTTACTTGCATGCACTTGCATTTCAGAATGCTAGCCAAAAGAAGATATTCCAGCTCACTGTTGTTTTAACTTGAAGGAGAACACTGTGAAAAACATGGTTTTAAGAGGTTATGTATTTCCTAAGCACGTTTACAGGAAAAGGAAAAGACTTGGCTCAAGCAAAATAGTCAACAGGCTGGATATGTCTTGGCATGTTTGTTCAACTACTTTTGTATGCATCAGATTCTGAGATTAGCGTAGTTCATCTAGTTTCAGCGTAATTTCACAGTGTGTTTATAAACCTGTCATTTCTCTTTTGCTCAGCATTGCGCAACCTGATAATTACACTGTTTGTTAGCTTGTTTCAATGGAGCTGGAATGTTATTTTTATTGCTGTTCACACGCTGCCAGGTGTTGTTCACTTTGGACGAGGCTTACAGGGCAAACAAGCTTGGAAAACAGCTGGGCTTGTTGGAGGAAGCAATAGGAAGAGGAAGTGGAAAGATGATCCAGTGTAGTGTGTGTAGTGGATACAGCTGGGGAGGATGTCAATAAGCAAATTCGATCAACATCGGGAGAGACCTGACTAAGTGATAGAGCAAGAAAAAATGGAGAGGAGGGTGGAGGAAGTACCACAAATGCCCTTCTCTTTCACACATTACTGAAACACAGGTGTCATCTCTCACCAAGTCAACAGCTGCTATTTTGTGAGTGTGTGCATGTACCAGCTATGAGGAGGGAAGCCTCCAATGTAACACGGGATCCTCTGAGGCCACGGCCAACACACTTGTATTTTCCGGTGTTTCTGGGCTTGACTTGTGTGATCAGAAGGGAGCCATTGGACAGCAGGACAATTCTGCAGGGAGAACACATCAAGAGCTGCTTCAACATCATCAAACGGCATCATTTGTACATGAAAGAAGAGCTAACTTTGACAATGGATCCTCAGAAAACGCTCTGATCTCTTTTTAGACTTCATCTGCAAATGATTCTCAGCAGAAGTTTGGCCTGAGGCTCCACCACTTCATACAAAAAGTTAAAAGAAAATTTGGCCAATTTTGACAAAGGCCTGCTCCATCTTGGCATGTAACTTAACCCTTTACTGTTGCGATTCAGAAAAAACAATCCATATGCTGCTTCAAAGAGTTAGTAAGGAGAGGCTTTGTATACAGAAACAAGAACATCCTCCCACATTTTAGGGCAGTTTTTTTAAAGTTACATAGTGGTGGGAACATGATGGTGGACAGGAGGAGAAACAGTTAAAGGCGGACCTTGAGCTAAATTCTGTGTCATCCCACAAGACAGACGGCAGCTCCAATGACAAATCAACAGCTCATCACACATGGTTGGGAAAGCCACAGCTTTCAGAGTTCATGAGAACAAAGAATATGTAAAGCGGGGAGGAGCGGTTGGAATCACTATCTGAGAAGAGTTTTCCAAAAGCGGGAATAATCCAGAAATGTTTGGTCCTGTGATAATTCCCTGAGGAAGGGTGATTTTTCTTTGTCATCTCTTCTTTGTGCCGGAGTGAAAGGGAAATGAGCTTTGGGATCTTGAGTTATGTCCCCTCCCTGTGAAATAAGTCTGTGGAACATTACTTTACACCGAGGAAATGTCTAAAATAACTACAAAAGAAAATGAGCAAAGACAATTTTTAGGCAATTATCCTTGGACATGGGACTATGTGCAGAAAGAATTGGTTTAACTCCCCTCTTTTTTATGCCTTTGGAATAAGTCGCACCCATGGGAAAGGCTGTCTGCAAAAACAGCCTTGAGCTTAAGCTGGTATGTCTTTAATTAATTTCTCACATGGAAAAATGATCTACATCAGACATTCACACATTCTAGAAAGGGCTGTTTAAGCAGCGCAGGTGGGAGAAACACCGTTGGTAGTGCTGCATTCCACTGGCCTCACAAATAAACCCGCTTCAATAAATAAAAATACACCGAACACCAACCTACCTCAGAATACTCAAACACAAAGCCGGCATGATTTGGAACAGTCAGTCTGTAGCTGTGCGTTTATGTTGCGTACTCTGAAATCCTGCAGCTGAGTCATCGCAGCCTTTGTGAGCAAACAGGATCATTACACAAATGACTAACTATGGATATTAATGCCCTTCGTGTCCATTGTTAGCTCGCTAATCACTGTAAACTCGGATCCTGGGGTCCTGCTCGCCGTGTTGCACAGGGCTGTCGTAATGTGTATGAGCATGAGGTGCGAACAATCCTAAGGGTAGACTTAGAAATTGGTTATTATCTAGTGCTTATGTATTTATAGAGGACATGCTGGTAAGCAGATTGTAGCTTGAGGGTTTTTCCGCTCTCTGCGTGAACACTGGAGACCTGCAAACTGCTTTGTGATAGGCTGTAGAGAAAGGCTGCATTAATGTGATGTTTAGTAGACTGCAGCAATTCTTTTTCTTTTACAGCACACCATCCCACTAATAACATTACTCCATTTGCAGTCTATGTTAGCTTCAGTTCTTGTGGCAGAGAAAGAACCCAAGGTGATGCTGTAAGGGTTCCAACCTGGCTGAGCTGGGCCCAGACTGTGTATTGGTAAGAAGGTGAAATGAGCTGATAGAAGGACGACAAACGGATGTGTGGAAGAGAGGCGTTTAAAACAGAGTGTCAGTCAGACTCAGATGCGTAATGCAGGGTTTTAGCACTCAGCATACCTGGACTTGTTTGCCAGCAGCTCACCCTCATGGTACCACTCCACGGTGGGGGCAGGCTCTGCGGTGAACTGGCAGTGGAACACAGCCTCCTCGTTCTTCAGAACGGTCTGGTTCTCAGGGGAGACCACCGCCCGCGGAAAGCTCTTATCTTTGGGGGGGAAAGAATTGGAAAACGAATATACTGAACATGGTTAAGTCTGCGGGCATCAGATCAAGTACCACCTGCATGGATGTTAATGCATCACACTGATGAACAGGCGTTATTAAAAGCTGCCAACAGCAGCGTGAAGCTGATGAGCGGACGGCCCTCAGGTGGTGGTGCATGTCAACACCAAAGGGGCCTCTTGGGAGACTTAATGAGGTCAGTGAACAGACCCAGCAGCTTATCTGGACTATTATCTCCTTTTCTACAACTGGGGTCATGGAATCACGCAAAGGAGATCATCTCTCCCTTCTGTATGATAATCTAAAGACATGCCATTTCCAAATCAGATTTAAAACTCACGTGAGATCCAATGCAGTAAAATAAGACCAGATTTTGACCTACCTGATGTAGGTCATCAATGCAGGTTAGTTGATCTTTTTAATCATCATAATGCATAAGTAACTTTCACTTTTGATCAGTAACTTTTCAAAATATAGTATAAACATATATAATATAAACATCATCATCACTATGGCAGCTGTCTGTAAATCGACCTGCTTGGGCTAACACTGGGCTGGCCTGGCCTGCCAAAAGCAGAGATTTAGCAGGGTCCAAGCAGGAGGAGGAGAATTTACCAAGTATTTAACCGTAAAGGGTGCTGTACACAATAAAAGAATGGGGACATGACAATACCCCTAAATCCAGGGTAATGGGTGTGAGTCAGTGCTTAAAACCAGCACGGCTAATGGAGGCAGAGGCGGTTACAGGATGTGGTTAAGGGGGAATTAGGGGAGGAGTGCCCACTAGGTTCAGGCAGGATGGCCTACACATTTGTGACTCGCTGTTTCCTGCAAACCAGGCTGAATCTGCGAGCTTTTATGATAAAGTGAATAGGGTGGTAACACAGTAACTGGAAACTCAACAATTATCCATTTTCCTTCCACCCAGGTGATAACCTTGCATGTCTGAGGTGCAGCTGGCTAATTAAAGTGTTGGGAAGCATCAGGTTTCTTGCACAGATGTGTTACTGTATGAACTATACTGGTGCATAGCCAGGCACCACACAATGGGCATGCACAGACAGAGAGTAAACAAAAGCAGTGATAAGAGCCTGCAGGAAAACAAACAGCCTCCCTGTTCAACGTGCAGCTTGTAAAGCTGTAGCAAAAATCTGATCAACAAAACCACCTCACTGCTGCGAGAGCTGATATTAAGGTTCGCTCTGCACATGTTTATAATGGAATTTCTGTCTGTAAGGGTGGCAGGGGTGGGGGTGCTTTCACAATCTTTGATAATATCATTAGAAACTCCATCATTTTCTCCTCCTGCTCTTTGCAACCAATAATGGTCTATACCCCCTCTTCCTACTCTGTCATTTCCAGCTGTTTGAATGTGAAATGAGACAAGAAAAATAGCACAGAAAGGGGGGGGGGGGCGGCAGACATATCAATCGGAGTGACTTATTTTAATAAAGATTAGCAGCCATGGGTAGATATTCAAAGTATTTGTTAAATCAATAAATAACACATGATCACAGAAAAAAACTAAGAAATAGATGAAGCATGATTTTAAAAACAAAGGCTAAAAATTAATAGGTGCTATTGTCCAACTGCTTTATTGCTAAAAACGATTTAGCAAAAGTGGATCAATTGGATGAATACAATTAAAAAATCCACCAAATGGCGAGGGCCTTCAGCATAAGAATATTTTCTTTGTCAAAGTGGAAGTGAACACAACCGACTGGGTGGGCTCAGAGCTACACACCTATAATACTGAGAGTGAAGTTGCTGCTGCTGCAGACGTGTCCTGCTGCATTTTTGGCACAGCAGTAATAAAGACCGTTGTCATCTGGACTGGCGCTCAGGAAGGTGAGTGTCCTGTCCTTGTTGTTGATCTGATGGCTCTTCTCCGTCAGCTTCATCCCATCCTTGAACCACTGGCAAGTGGGGCTGTGAGAGCGGATTAAAGGAGGAAGATGATAGACAGATTCAGGAGGGGAGGGGAAAACAGGGAACCGTCAGAAGAAGATATTTCTCATGCTCTACTATCTTTTTGTCAACTTGAGGTGGAAAAGGAGACTCACCGTGGGTGCCCATCGATATGGCAGCGCAACGAGACCGTGGAAGAGCTCTCAATTTCTCCCTCTGAGAGAGGCTCCTTCAAAGTCACACTACCACTCTCCAACCCTGCAGAGACAGAAAAACACACAGAGGGGTGTAAGCAGGAGGACGGCAGGAACAGAAGAGCACAGGATGAAACACCGTAGAGAAGGACAGGAGCAGAAATTGAGTTAAGTGGCTGCCCTGTAACCCGTCCACACAACACTAATGGGTGCAGCAGGCGTGAGGACAGCCGGGCACATCAGTGTGACAGCACTCTGAGCACGACAGACAATGGAGCGTGCGGCTCCATCAGTGGGTCAGCTAACATCAGCATACCAATGCACTCAGAGCGAGATGGGCCTTTACCACGCCGTTCCCAACATTTAATGGACGGCTCATAGACTCACTTAAAAGGGATGCACGGCTGTTAGAGCATCCCGTCAAAGGAGCCTGAAGTCAAAGTGAACATGCTTCGATGCGGCACACAAATATTACAGCTTGACAAGAAGTTCCCTACAATAGTACATGAAAAGTTATCACGTGCATCTCCATTTTTGGACGGGAGAGGAGCAAATGACGAAAGATGAAGAGGAGCCATCCTTAACACAAGCAAAGATTAAACTTGTCCCTGTGACAGATGAAGGAGGAACTAAATGAGAAAAGCAGATGGTGGGGGATTGATCCACAGTTGCTCTTTGACTGAAAGCAAACACGGGCAGTGGGGAAACCAAGGAAGAAATGTGGTTTAACATTAACAACCTGGCTCAGTGCACAGAGCTACACACTTCATCACACAGTACATCCATCAGCAGCAAAGCCGTCCTGCATTCTGCTGTCCAAAGGTGACAAGCAGATACTGTGATAGTCATCATGTACCAGGTCGTTTGTTTATTTAATGTCTGCCTACTCTGTCCCACATTAGACTTTTTGTAATACGACTCCCGCCTTACTGCAATTTTCGCTTCTTCTGGTGTGCATGTTGGCTACACAAACACTTAATTCTCCCACTGAATGAACACAAGGGGTAATTGCTATTTATGTGACGATATCAAAGCTGTGGTTGTGTGATGAGCAGCGAGTGTATACGCCGTGGTTATAGGATACATGCATGTGTTCGCTGATATCTGTTTGGGTTGCCTGAGTTTAATAATGCGTTTGTTGGGGGTTTGCGTGCATGCTCTGTTCGTTCATTTCTGTGAGACATTCTGCTAAGGCAAAGCTCCAGTGTGCAGGCCTGTGGCTCAATAGAGGAGCTTCTATCACTATGAAATATGCATGGCATGAGTAAACCTGAGACAGAGGTGGAAAGGGGGAGGAGGGGCGCAGCATCCATGTGAGGTCTGATGGACCCCTAGAGAGAGAGCCATCGGTGAATTTCAAGGGAGCCTGTTAGTGCCCTGCACTTCAAGTTCAAGTTATCATGGGATGCTGTCTCCACAGTAACAAGGCTTCGGCCCCCCACATGCAGGCTCCCATCTGTGGCAGGCAGTGCTCATTAGCTCTTTTTCAGGACAGATGCTCCACAAATGTATGCGTCTGTGTGTTCAGTTTGTAGTTGAATAGGTGTACCGTTATGTGTTAAATACAAGTGTGCATGCCTGCAAATGCCTGGGTAAATTGGTTGTGTGTTTTTTTTGTTGTATTGAAGGTCAATAGCTTCAGCAGGAGGTGATGAGGGATAATTCAGCTATGGGGACCCTCGGGCCAGACTCTCCAGGAAACCTGCTATTAGTGCCCTGAAAGCAAAAGGGACTGAAAAACAGACAGAGGAAACAATGAGTCATGAAAAAGAAGGAGAGTGAAAAAGCCGGTGTGTAGGAACATGTCTCGTTTCAGTGCAAGCTGCCATCAAATCAGCAATCTGATGTGAATTAAAGAAGCCTTTATTTTTACCTGTTTGCGGTAACAGGTGGGTGTTTTCAGTCGTCATCTCTGAGCACACTGTGTCATTAGTTTGTCATGTTCTTTTTTAATGACATCTCAAAGAGTCTCATTATCTATAAAGCAAAACAATTTGTGCTGCCTATTCTCTTCTAAATCCTCTTTCTTTTTTTTTTCTTCTTTCCAACAGACACATATTCTAACTGTCCACGCACAGCTCCATTCAAAGTTCAGGTTTCTCCAGCTGTCCCCTCTGCAAACAGAGGGCAGAGTTTCACAACCTATTAGTGGCGAATACCTCTTGGTAATCCCTCTCTGCGTGACTGAGTGTTAGAGCAGGCCTGGCAGCAAACGCCGTAATTAGGGGTGTATAATTATTATGTTAGAGGCGGAACAGGAAGCTCCATCAACATGGGGATGATAACAGATGTATTGTAAGGATAAAGGCATGGCAAATGCGTGGGCCATTCGTCCTTCACCGCTCACATGAAAGTGTGTCTGTTTTCTCTCGATGAGCTCATTTGTTGCCATGGAGAAAGGTCTGTGCAATACTGGGCCAGGACACAGTGCCTTATCTGCGGGAGCGCTGAGACTACAAGTTGACTGACAGAAGCACATGGGTGTGGAAATGATCAAAACTGGCAGCTGAGTGTCCCGATACTGTAAACACCAAACATGCCGGCAAAATTTTGGAAGATGCAGATTCTGCAGGCCGGGCCCTCTGTCAGAGGAGGGTCAGATTTTACCAGCTGTGACTGGCAGAGGTCAGCCGGCCGGGCCGGAGCCCCGGGGATGCTACTGCTGTGTCAGGGACAGAAGACAGAGCTTCTCATTACCATGAGAAGCTAGATTCAGTCAGCTGTGGAGCGAAAAACAAAGAACCGTCAAGGAAAGGAAAACTGTGGGGCGTCTGCCATGAGAACAAAGTGGAACTGTACTTCTAGCTTTTAAGAAAATGCCTCTGCTGGTAAAAATGTAGGCTAAGGACACATGCTGTGCGACACAGCCAAGATGGCGCACGCATGTAAAACCCTGGGGGCCCTGGGGGCCAAAATAATTAACGGGTAGGAAAATGTGCCCGATGCCATTATCATGGATTTTAATTTCCTTATTTCTACAAGGCAAGTCTCCAAATCTGAAAACAGTATGGCACTACATCTTTTCGGGGAGTCATGCAAAGCCTCTGGGACTATTCTGCCGAGTGCGGCCAAAGGACAAAATGTGGAAAGGGGGTTTAACACTTCCATTCGGGAATAGCGAGGCTAGATCCTTTCTCTTGAATAACTTCAGGCTGGATAGGCCCTCCCACCTCTGAAAGCAAGACATATTAACTCCCTGTCTTCTGTGGGGGAGCAGTATCAGTCTATCCCCATATAGTCCACTTACAGTACATATGGAGCACATTCCAGACCCCCCCCCCCCCCCCCCCCCTCCAACCCACATTTACCAACATGCACGCAATCTTGCCCACACATGAGTGGATGCACGGGCAGGATTAATGCCAGCGGGGCTTTACATTAAAGCTGCGTGTGGCTCTATCGTCCGTTTAATATGTGTTGGCTAAATATGGGCACATCAGTCATAACATGGGGTTATCTAGCTAAAGGGATGGCTGGGTGGCCAACCCAGAGGAGCGACGCCACAGTGACAAACATGCTGATTAACACAGTCAGACACTGCACACAGACATGGTTAGGGCATGAGCTATGCTTCGGACTTTATGTCCGTCTTATCCTACAACTATCCTCTTTGAAGAGAGGCCACAGATTGTACTGGACTTGCCTGTTATCTGAAGTCATGGCTGGAGACTCTCCTTGTGGATATACTCTGAGCAATATCATTAAATAAAAAAAGCCATCGATCATACCATTCCAACATTAGTCTTAACAGTGTTTCTGCTGCTTGTATAGCCTTTATGTACAGTGTTTGTGGTAATTAACTAGTGTAAGATATACTTTGAGTTTTATTTTCTACTGAAGGTCCTCTTGAACTAAAAAATAAATACATTCTTCTTTTTATCGGGTTATATTTCTCTGATGAGGTGATCATTCTTTCGTGAGAAGGTGGAGTTAAAAACCTCACCCCTAAACTGTTTGTGGGCTGAGCTGGATCCAAATGGATGTCACTGCCAAACATGCTTGATGGAGATTAACTTGCATTCTGAGTCACGCTTGCCTTTTAGATGGTTAGATGGGCACAACTAAGAGAAAAGAGGCACCTACCTCTGCTAAATGAAGTAGGGCCAAAGGGAAGAATCGAGACCGGCTCAGGAATGTGATAGTCATAAACACAGATTTGATCCACCAGGAATTTCAAATCACACGGGCAAAGTGAGACTTCTACCTCTCGTGGAAAAACCCCTCACATTAGTACTTCACTAATGAAAAAGGGTTTTTTTGTGGAAAACACCCGTTTTAGCTCTGTGTGTATCTTCTACATCTAGATCTATGACTTCTATGACATGAAGAGCAGAAATATGACTCAAAACAAGACATGAGCAGGCTGTCTTTCACCTGATTGTTTTGGATTCATGCTCCAAAGGGGAACACACAGTCATAGAATTCTCTGTGGCTTTAAAAGTATGAAAAAACTTCACACTAGGGAGACCGTCACACATTTCTGAATCACAATGAGAAATCAACCGATGCTACTTCATTCCCTATGTGTTTTAATAGCAAAGCCAGTCCACAAGCACTGCTGCTCTTAAATAAGTGCATCTAAAAGATAAATGAGCTCAGCCTTTTACCTTTGAAGAAGAAGAAAGAAAAAAGAGCGTGGGAATGTTAATTACTTGGCAGATAAATTCAGTGTATTCTGGATCATGATGGCAACTCTGAAGAAGAACTGGATCTTCCCGTTTAACTCGCCTTTCCCTTATAATCGCTGGGAGTATGGCAGTTCAACTTTACCGACACCCTGCATCACGTGCAGCTGTGATATATGACAGCAGCTTCCTTCGGATTAGATACAGTTTGGGAAAACTGATGCCTCCTCACTGATTCACAGAGCTGGAACTGTGCGCATTCAAAGACGGTCTTCAACATCACACATCTCCCTCCCCAAAACTGACCCTCTCAGCCTGGGCACTCATCTGCTTTAGTAATCAGTCTTTGAAAAAGTATCATCACCGCAAAGAAAAACCTCCAGGCAGAAAGTATCCAGAGAAGAGAACATATTCCAGATGGAGCCTTTTTTTCAAAATACCATTTTGCTTCTTTTTCCCCGGTTGGTATCACTCAGTTCACAGTTTAAGAAGCACAAAGGCTTTTCAGTAACGGCTGATACCTGAGGGTCCAGCAAGGGTGTTTTTTTTTTTATACCACTCTGATCTGGGTAGAAGTATTCCCATGGCTGCCCCTAAAACAAGGACATTCACTTGGGTTTGTTTGTGAATTGAAACAAAGTTAAGAAACTACCGTGCCTCTTCTTACCAGCACAAGCATAGGCTATAAAGAAAAAGTGACTAAGTCAAAAGCCTGACATGAATAAAGGCTGGAGCAAAGAGGGCAGTGTCAACCTAAACCTAAATAATTACATAGCTGGGAGGTAAATTACACTACTCAGTAATTTCCTGACAAAAACCCTTTTGAGAGTATATGGGAAAATACAGTGTTACACAACAGAGGGAAGGAAAAAAAGGCAACAAGAAACACATGCTTGGTGGCACACATATCCAGTTTCTAATAGAATGTAGGAGCCACAAAAAGTAAGGCAACAAGGTGGAAACATTCCTTCAGCTCATACTACCTGTCATCTTATCCTGTCACTTTTGTCTTGCTCTTTTTAAAGCAGAAACTGAATGCTTACCCCTGTTGCCATTATGAAACCCTGTCACCTGGTAATTTTCGTTCAGGAAATCAGAGGGGTTTCCTTTGAGAAAAACTGGGCGCGAAAGGCTGGAAACTTAACACTCACACTTGATATTGAAGGAGGCATTGTTGGAGTGGAGCGCCTCTCCTGTTGCTTGGTTCTCTGCGATGCACACAAAGATCCCCGAGTCCAGCTGCCGGTCCACGGCGGTGAACTTGAGGTTGCTGCCCTCCTGGAAGCGCCTCTCGGTGTTCTCCAGGACCTGCCTGTTGTGCAGCCACCGGTACGTGACGTCGGCCGGGTCGCTGACTTCGCAGCGCAGCATCGCGCTGCGGCCGTGCAATGCATCCTGGGACTTGGGCTCCTTGGTGAACTGGATGGCAGCAGTCTGGATGGACAGAGCTGGGGAAAAAGGAAGAAAAAAAGAGGAAAGAGAGAAAGTAGATGACAAGAGGATTAGTCTGGGGCGGCTGTAAACATTTTTACTGCTTTTTCCGTTCATTAAGTGTATGGCAACCACTTAGCCCTGCGGTGGAATGTGATGTTTAGACAATAATGGCTGCTGTGAATTATTTTGTCATAAAATGATCAGACCCAATGGGGAGAGCGTACTTTTTCCCCTCCGTGCGCCGACAGACACATTTATTATCAGCTCGCGCATTTCAAACAAATCGTGATGTGTTGCAAGTATTTCCCTTACATCACAGGTCGGTTCTGTTCTAACACACATTTAACTGGAACAGACTAAACCACCAGCACCAGAACTCTTGTTTTCTCTGGCATTACAAGCACTTTAGTATGGTCTAAGCGGTGTTGGAACATCCAGCAGCTCATCGATAACCAAAGGTGTCCATGCAGATCCTCGGTTGCCCTCGTCACACAATGTTATCATCCCTGATGTCAAGGCTTGTTATCACACGAAGCGGACCAGTGAAAGTCGATTGTGCGTACCTACACCTGCGTGAAGGTATGTGCTTGTGTGGGTCTACACAGCCTCTTACAGGAATGGGGACTGCCCCCCCCCCTTTTTTAAGGGGGATCTTTCAGTAAAGTTAAATCAAGAAGCTTGTTGAAGATGAGCCAAGATTATCCTCCACATCCCACAACCCCCCTTTGTCTCAGCTGCAGGTGGTTTATGCCAAAAGTCAAATACAGACATTATTAGAGGGAGGCTGTGGATAGTTTGGCAGGGCAAAAGAGTAAATTCTGCATTAAATTTCCTCATAAGACATTGAAAAAAGCAAATGGGGGGATTGTGAAAGAGATAATTATAGCTTTTTGTATATTATCAGCCTGATTGGAATGATAACAATCTGTGCAGAATAGCTCGGATCATCGTTGCAACAAATGTCTCCACATTCAACTAAATACTTGGTCATCCCCATTCCCAATCAAAACTAAAACAAGGTCAACAGCAGGTCAAAGTACCAATAAAGGCATGAACCTTCTGAGAAAGGAAATTGTTGAAACATTATTAAGTACTGTTTTGTTTAAGAGTAACAACTGAACAGAACAGAAAGAGCAGGAAAACGGAAAACAACACCAGGCTCTGTTCTGCATGGAGACACACGTTCAGCTGAGTAAAACTGACCGGCGTTGGTCAACAGCTTTGAACGTCCAGCAGACAGAAAAAAAATCTGTTTCTGCTATTTGTGCCGTAGAAACTTGGACAAACACATTATAAAACAGCAGCTTTCAAAGGAGGTGCCAGTGTTAAGACATAAATCATCCTCGCATAATCCAAATGGTCATCCGAACAAATTCAAGAAGTAATTTATTGCACAAAAGAAAAGTTACAACTCCCTTGCACTGGCAGTTCCTCTTATGAAGCAGTGATTTGTTCCATCTGCGTAAAACTGGCCGCCCCCCCCGGCATCCATCCAAGACGATCTACAGAGGCCGCTCTCTGCCACCATGCCAAACCTACAGCCGGCACGTGAGGTGGCACGCCGACGTCCAGTCAGTAGAGGGTGTGAGCTTTGGTGGCGATGGGATGGTGTGGTGGCCTGCAGCTAATGGCTTCATCTGAGATGGCTGCTGACATGCGGAGCGAGCCTCTGTGCGTTTGAGGATTCGTGTATGCAAAGAAAATTCCCAGAGGATGGCAGATAAAGTGTTTCACATGCCACTGGATGGAAGGAGGGGGGGGGGACTATTACATTAGAAGAAGTCTGCCAAGTTTACTGTATTGTTCAAACAGAGACGGCAACATGACCTACATATCTAAAACACGCTGCAGTCCTTCTTTTCTAACTCATATCAAAAGATGCAAAAGAGCACACATAACATAAACACAGCCATATACGCAGAACCATCACTCATCCCCCTCTGCGACCATGCCAGTCACTTCCACAGATTTCACAGAAGTTCTGTCTGTCAGACCGAATCAATGCCTGAATTAGGTCAGGCTTTTTATAGTCTGGTGGAGGCTGAAGGACAGAGAATGCTTGAATCCACACAGAGTAGCATTACAGCGATAAGAAGGGCAAACACTATCCAAACTCTCCTTCAAAGTGAAGCAAGTTGAAAGGCACAGTTACAGATAAAGGACTGACAAAGCGGGAGGAGGGAGGGTTCTTGAGGCTAGAACAGAGGGGCTGAGTCCAACTGTGCAGAGCCAAAGGCTGTCAGTTAGAACAGAGCATGCTAATGAAGGATTAAAAGCAAAAAAGATCCGCTTTTCAAATAATCTCTCAGAAATTACACACATGCAACGTGTATTTATGTTTGAAATACTCAGTACTGCTCTCAGAGGTTTGTTTTCACTAAGCCATCATTTTCTGCTCTGAATAAACAAACAGAAAGCATACCGTGTCCCGGCATCTGGGAAGCAACCCTTTCATTTTACAAACTGTCTGCTTATGGGACACCGGCTTTGGTTTCTGATCGTTTCTGATTTTGAATGATTGAGTTCACAAAATGGAGAGAGAGAAAAAAGAAGCCTCAGTTCTGACATGAGTCACGCAACTGTCAAAGAAAAAACCTTTAACGGAAACATTTGCGCTCACAGAGGAGCGGCTTAAAATAGTTTACCACCAAGACAGTTCAGGTTTCCTTGTATTTCGATCAACAAATCCGGAAACGCATTGGAGGAGACAGAAAGTAGGTTAAAGATGGAGATGGAAACTGCTGAGATGGTGAAATGTCTGCACGGAGGGATTCTCCTCCTCAGCTCCCTGCACTGCCGGCCTCATTAGGCCTGGCATGGCTGTCAGGGCTGTCGGGGGGAAGTTACATTTAAGTCAACATGACAGCCCGAATTCACCATAATGAGCTCATTGTCAGCCTCCATTCTCGCCTTGTCAGCTCCGTCCCTGCCACCAACAGGCCGAGGTGGCCGAGCAGATTCTCAGTGGAAAAACAACTGTTGTGCAGAAACACTTTCCACAAGGCGTGGAGAGCGAGAGAAGGTGACCTGTCAGGCCGAGGAGCTGACAAAGACAAAATGATGATCAACATCCTCAGAGGCGTTTCAACCTGCAAGCCGAGAAGCACAAAGTGAAGCAGAATTCCTTCAGTGCAGTTGTGAGAAACCCGATTCTATCGGTGGACGTCCTGTGGCCTGGATTGTGCGTCTCCAGCAGTCCATGGCACACCACGCTGTTATCTCTGGAACTTCCCCCCCTGACATGCCCCTGCTGGGGAACGCCGACCAGCAGCGCAGGCCCGAGCCTGCCGGAGGCCAGAGCCGAAGACACCCGCAAATGCTCAGACGGCTGGCTCCCGGCCGGCACACCCTCGGTGGGAGCTCAAATGGCTCTCGTGTGTGGCTTAAGAGCCTCTGAGCCCGTGTCAGCACGGGACAGCTGCTCTGAAAGGTTTCAGAGAGATGGGGCGGCGGGACGAGCAGCTTCGGAGCGGCAGGAGTGAGCAGGGCTGGCAGAGCGTGCCACAGAGATTGGAGCGTTCCACATGTCTGCCATTGGATGTTTATCTCCGTGGCTCAGAGACACGTTTCAGGCAAGAATTTTAAGCATTTAGTGCTCGAGGACCTCTCCCTCTCAACTGACATTATTAATGAATATACAACAGTGTTGAAAAAGTATTCACAACCCAATTGAAGATAAAAGCTGTCAGACTTAAGACACCATCAACTTCTTTATTCAGACAAAACAACAACAACAACAAAAAAAAAAATAAAGAGCCTCTGATAAGATTAATTAATGACATCTCGCATTAGATCTGAAAAGATAGCTTACATGATTTGGGAGCAAGGGGCTTAGTTAGTTGATGTCAATCAGCTCATGAAGCAGAGTGGAAAAACATGTCATCAAATTTTTAGATGCAGGAGATGGGCAGTGAGGGAGCACTGATGCACACTACTCGCTTTAAAAGCATCCATTTTAGCAGCGTCTGTTCCATCAGCTCAGCCAGGCTCACGAAAGCTGAACACACCACAGGATGCCCCGGAGCACCGATCCCTGAGCAGCTGTGAGCAAAAGTTAACTGTCCAAGAATAGAGTTGCAATGTAGGCCAGAGGAGGGCGATTACTGAAATTGATTTGGCTTCTGTAGTTTTTGCTGGTTCACCTGAATGCCAAGCCAACGAGATGAGGGGGAAGAAACACAGGATTTATAATCTCCACGTTTGATTTTAAGAAAAAGATGCGCTTTGTGATAAAAGACTGACAAAGGGCCACAGTGTTTCAACGATCTTTGAAGCAGTCCTGAACATCATTTCCACTGACTGAACTAAACAATAATTCAATTTTCAAAGCAGCTGGTCACTCCAGTTGAAAAGATGAATGAGAACCCATTCCGGTTATTAGCTGTAGTCCAGGGGACTTTTTGTTCTTCCCCACATCTGTATTAGGGACATTTTAAAACATCTGCCCAACATTTGTGTTATCAAATGAAACCATTATTTTTCTCTTAATGAAAAGGTGTCTTCTTGAAAGACTGATATATTCTCGGTTGCAGACAGATGCTGACAAGCAGGTTTTTACAGGCCTGAGACAAAGAGTTGCTTTGGCTACATCTTCAGCTGTGTGAGTGGAGATGTCAGACGGGGAGATGGGAGTGGAGGGCAGAGTCATGGGAAGCGTTAAGTCCTACTGACAAAGCCTTCACGGCCTGTCAACAAATAACCGGATTTGTGTGTATGCACATGTTCCAGCTTTCTTATGACTGTTGATTCTGTTAAAGACTTAATGGAAGATCTTTCGGGTAGCATTTATGGTCCAATAAACACAGGGAGGTAGTGGGGGGGGGGAGCAAACGGAGCGTGAAACAAGCGAGGCAGCGTGAGTAACTTCACTTTGATGGATTACCACTGAAATTATGACAGGTCACAGTTGACATCTGAACATATGAGCGTCTCAAAGAAAATATTATTTGAGCACAATGTCAGAGCAAAGCCTGGCTAAAAAGTCCAGGATGGGTGGAACTAGTTTCAAAGTGCATTTTCATGCACTGGTGAACGC